ACCAATCAAAAATTTCAATGGATTTTTTTTATAACGAAGAATCTATAGAATTAGAAAAGGATAATATTGATTATCTTCGACCAATGATGGAACAACTTACTAAAAATTATAATGTAGAATTACGAGATGGATTTTATATTACAAATATTGTTACTGGAGAATGTCCACTATGCTTAGATTATATTTGGAATAGCTCATTTCGTGATATTTGCAAACATTGTCATGCAGCAAGAATTTTTTCGATGGCACAAATGAATAATTCAAATATAGTACAAGAAACAAAAGAAAAATTTGTTAGTTACTTTAAAAATAAAGAAAGAATAGTACCTCCCGATCAAAAAAATAATACAATTTATCTTGGATCCATAGATGAAGCATATAATGAAATAATTCGTCTTTTTAACATTGAAGGTATAATTACTTTATTATATTAATTTTTTTTATTGTTTAATATATTAATAGTTTATTTTTTTACAATAATGTAGGAACAAAAATTTTTAATTCTTCAGCAAAGCAAATAAATGTTTGTACAAATCCTTTTCGTCCATTGGAGTTAAATCACCATCATTCTACAAGAACAGGATCATCAGCAAAGCCACGAAAACCTAGTCGTATATTGCGTTATAATATAAATAATGTTTCACAAAAAAAAAACAAATACAAAACGTAAATTCGAGATAAATATTTAATAATTTATTGAATAAATTTTTATTAAAATTTAAAATTTTATTTAATTTTTTTTTGTATACAGAATAATCCCGAAATTCTTTCAAAAAAATCAAAGAAAAACTCTATTATGACTTTACAAAATATTGATTCACAACAATCTAGAACAGTAGATTTATCCTTTATTACTCAACAAACTAATAATAATTTTTCTGAACTAGATATTGTTGATTCCGAATTTACAATCAAAGAACTTAAACAAATCAATAATAATTCTTTTGAATTAACCCAATCCACAACCCAGGAACCTGAACAAGCTAATAATAATTCTTTTGAATTATCTCAAGCCAATAACAATTTTGAATTTTTTATTTCTTCTAAATTATCTCAAGCCAATAACAATTTTGGATCTATTATTTCTTCTGAATTACAATTTGAACAAGTTAATAACAATTTTTCTGAATCAACTATTATTTCTTCTGAATTACAATTTACAAACCAAGAATCTAATGAATTAGAATTTGCTCGCAAATTACATTCTGCACGCCAATATGTTTTAAATATTATTAATAATTAAGTGTAGTTTGCAATATTGTTTTTATTATAATTTCATTATATTAATATAATAAATATTCAAATATAAAATGTGTATATACGTTAATAAAAATAAATAATATATAAAATTACATTAATAATAAAATAAATAATATCGAAACGAAAATATAAAGTTGGAAAAAATATTTTTTTTATTAAAAAGTATCAAAAAAATAATTAAAAAAATGGGTACCATCGAAATCTATCAAAAAAATAATCAAATTCGGGGGTACATCAAAGTATATCAAAAAAATAACCCCTGATCTATTAAAAATGAAACTTTTGCCTATTTGTCACATATTATTTTTCACATAGTAATCACCTGATAATAATTTGGTAATCACATGAAAGCAATCTTACTCGAGTAAAAATAGGGGGGGTGAGCAATATTTCACTCACCCTGGATAAGAAATAATATTACCCTTCATAATATTACATAATATTGACACTTACAGAGATTTTCATAAAATTTTTTATGAAATTTTTCATGGATGTCTGACTTTAAACGTGAATATCTCAATGAATTTCAATTCAATAGGAATAAAATACATAGCCAAGAACCAGAACTTTCAATTCATCTTAGAAACATCTTAGTAAAAAATCACTTCTTGTTATGTAAATTGCGAGAGAATTCAAAAAACAGATTTTTTTAGGTATCATCAGGAAATTTTATTAGACAAAAATTTCTGGAATTTTGATATTAATGTAAATTTCCATAAATTTTGATTATAAAAATTTTCGTAAAATTTTGTTATAATAAATTTCCATAAATTTAGATATTTTAAAATATTTTTGAAATATTTCACTTATTTTTATATTTATTTTTTTTTAAAAAAATTTAAAAATTTCATATTTTCTATAAATTTTTGTAAAAATTTCATTATTTATTATTATTATAAATAATAAATTTTGTACAAATAAAGAAAATTTTATGTAAACAAAAAAAATTATATAATTAAAGAAAAAACTATTATTCTTTTAGCTTATCACTATTTTCATTATTATTATTACTATTATCATCACTGCTACTTTTACTATTTGATTTATTTTCACTTTTAAATAGTTTTTCAATTTCTTTAATTTCTTTTTTTTTTAGCTTTTTCCTTCACAAGTTTTCAAATTTTGTTTAATGAAGGAATTCGTATTTCTATATTATTTTCATTATTCACAAATAGAGTAGGTTCAGATATACTTTTTCATTTTGAAGGTATGATACAAATTTTTTTTTGTAATCTTTTGTCATTACATTTTAAAAGTACAACATAGGTTTTCTTTTGGACATCTTGGAGAAGAAGAAGAAGAAGATAGCAGGGGGAATTGGATATCTGAAGATTCATATTCAATCTCAAATGCTTCTTTATTTTTTATTTTTTTCTATTTTGAACTAAGTTTTTAGAAATTTTTCAAAATAGTTTTAAAATTTATAAATACTTATAATATTAATTGAAAGGGAATATTTTATGTTTTCCTCTGTAACTTTTATATAGTTATTTTTTGGATTTAATATTATTTTGACAATTGATATAGCCTAAGTAATATATTGTTCAGGTGGTTTCAATTTTGAGATGAAAAACCATATTTTTTCTAAGATTGCCTTTATGTTATTAATCTACTTTCTTACCTCTTTTTCTTATTATATCTTATTCTTAATTATTTATTATTTATTATTATTTTTATTATTATATATATCTTATTATTATTATTCATCTTAGTATTTATTAGTCTTATAGTTATTAATAGATCAATTTCAAATATATAATACAAATTATTATTTATTACTTAAAATATTTATTATCTTAAATTCTTGTAAAAACATGTAAGTCTATAGTACAGACATAGATTTAGATATACTTTTGATATATCTTTGGATATAAGTATAAGATGATTAGAATAAAATTATAATGTATATAAAGGCTAGAAATTCTTTCAAGTCAGTCAGTTAGTTTATAGTTAGTTAGAGAGTTTAGTTTGATAGTTCAGTTCATGAGTTCATAGTTCAGTTTGTTAGTTACAATTTGAGTCTTAGAATTGTAATAAAATAATCTTTTACATTACAGTTCTAATTTGTTAAAGTGTTAATTATTTAATTGATACACTGCCTATTAATAAGTTCTTATACCACTGTTAATAGTTAAATCATTGTTACAGAATAAAATCATTATAATAAAAAATATAGTATACAATATACTTGCACGCAAAATTATTTTGGGGTCCCAAAATTACAATTTTGGAGAAAAAAGTCAAAATAGTTTTTCATAAAAGACGAAATTATTTTACTTAAAACCTGAAATTTTTTTTCCACTTAGATTAATTCTTTGATTAAAGATACATATAACTAGATACTTTTTTTACTTCCATATATAGAATAAATTTTGCATAAATCTCAAAAAGTCGAAATACCTCAAAAATCCAAAATCAATTTTGGGAACATGTATAGTATACAATATTAAAAACACCTGTAAATATTTAGCAATAACATTAGATAATAATAGTATTTAAAATTCAATTAGTAAATATTAAAAAATTATTAATGAATAGATATTAATACTGAAAATAATGATGAACTTGAAAGATATTGAAATAAATTAAATGAAAAGTCTAATTTCCTTTCTAAAATAATTGAATCAGTAATACCTTTCAAAACAATTGAACAACAGTCTTACCTTTGGAAAAGGACTATAAACTTCTTAAAAGAATCATTAAGTCACTTCACTAGTTTGTTCTCAAGGGAATCAGGACTGGTGACATCACCTTTTCATAATTGACTATATACAATTTCTTTATACAAACTCTTCTTATTGTTATAAATTCTTAGTTAAGTTATTTGTGTAATTTATAAAGTAGTTTAATAGTTTAAGTTTTGGTCCCCATCATCATTTTACAAAGTTAAAGGTTTAGAAGGGTAACAATATAAGTTGAATTTTTGAGGAAATCTAATTTATCAAAAAATTTTTTGTAACTACTTTTAGTGCTAGGGAGTTACTTTCAATTTATAATTTCTTGAGATTTAGTAATAGATTTTATTGGATGAAAATAGTTACCAAAAACTTCATTCATAGCTGCCCTCACTTTACTACACAATTGGTCTCGTAATTATCTAATTATTAAAAAATGAAACAAATTTCAAACCATTTTATAATATTTCAAATTTATATTTAGAATTTTTGATTCATAATATACATTTCATTTTTGACTAAGTGAATTATAAATTTCTTTGTAATTATTTTGAATGTAGACTTCACATTTTTCTTTAAGTTCTTTGGGACTAAGGTATAAATTTAATTTTAATATCATTTCAGTCACATTTGCAATTATATCCTATTAATAAAATTTTATTAATAATTATTAAACTTCAAAACTTTATTAAAATTATTAATAAAAGTTACTTACATCCATAAACTCTTTGTCATTAGTTAATAAACATATTTTATTTGTTATTTTTTTTACATTAATTTCTATATTGCTTTGACTCTTCTTTATATCTGCAAATTCTAGTTCAAATTTGTTTATTTTTTCAAAGATTTTTAAAAGTAACACATTATTATCTGTATTATTAAATAATATTATTTAACAATCAATATTATGATTTTGATTTATTGCAGTTTATTTTTTGTTCTTTTATACCATTGTAACTTTCATTTTGTTTTGAATGAGAACTTGTAGAAGATTGAGATTTTTCAGAAGATTGCATTTTTTTATAATATCCAAAATGAGAGTATTTAAATTCATAATTAATAACATCAGGAAAAATTCACTTACAAATATACATATGCAAATATATTTGTAATTAATAAAAACTGAATATATGCAGATATATTTGATATAACATATGAATTAATGTCAATAAATGTAAATTAATGTAAATTAATGTGATTTATGCAGATAAATATATAAGTGAGCAAATATATCTAAATATATTTACCTTCAAAAATTTCCTGATTAAAATTTACAATTAATAAAGAAATAAAGTTTATAAAAGTTAACAAAACTTTTTGAAAAAATTTTTATTTGACTATAATACTAAGTAAAAAAGTAAAAAAAAAATAAGATAAAGAAAAATAAATAAATAAGATACTTATAAGTTAGCATTTTAATGATGTATAATAAAAATAGGCATAAGATTACAAAAGTTGTTTAGTTAGAGAAAAAGTCAAGAAGTATTAGGAGTATAAAAAATATAACAATAGTATGTAAGAGATGAGGTAAATAATCTAAATAAAATCTAAAAAATAAACTCTAAATAAATAAACATTTGTGACACATAGCATATGATCTACATATATACTAATAAAATAAGAAATTAAACTAATAAAATATAAAATAATAGTTATAGAATAATATGATAAATAAGATAAAAAATATACAAATGAATAAAAGTTGGCCATTAGGGTCAACAGCTTACTGATTTCACAGACGATTCCACTGAAAATGGATTCCCAACGGATTCCCAAGACACGATTTCAATGCAAAAACTTTTTAGTAATTGGTTTATACATTTTAATATCACATATTTGTCACGTTTTAGTCATGTGTTAAACCAAAATTCGGGATAATCACTAAAATTTAATTAATGATAGGAGACAAATCGGCATATGTACCTGGAAATAGAACCAATTAACGAATATTTTTGTTCACAGCAGAATCTCATTTATTATTATTTTTATTTGTCTCGAAAATAAATTAGATAAAAATAAATCAGAAAATTAATTTGTGTACCAAGTGTGGTCTAATTTTGAAAGTCGAAGAATGAATTGAATGGAATGAATTAAAAATCGATCCAAATAAGTCAAGAAATTATAATAGCATAAAGTTGAATATCGCGTAGTATAACACCGATTTACCAGTAATAAAAAATGGTTTTTCTATTATCCACGTCCAAAATAACGAAGAAAGAATAGTTTAGTTCTTTCATTTATTGTTGTTTATTGAGGTAATTTATTTTAAAATAAAATAAAATATAGTATTTCTTTATTTAGATATGTGGTGTTATGGAATCAGAAAAATAATAACGTTAACATATTTGAATAAAATGTTGTACGTATATATATTTTTTCGTAAAAATACAGAGAAATAATAAGAGGCAAAATATTATATAAGAGCAACGAGAGTTTTCAAAAAAAATTATCGATCAACGAAAAAATTATTTATTATAAAATAAGTAACTCAAAGTATTATCTAATAAAAACTTTTGAATTAATGATATTCAAAAAAAAAAAACTCACGTTAAAATTAATTTTATTTTTTATTTTGTAATTACTACTACTACTAACGAACGAACCAACTAAAAAAAAACTCCTTTTATAATTTTAATTAATGAATAAATAAACCATAAATTGTTTTTTCTTTTTTTTTTTTTTTATATTAAAACAAAATGCATTCTACAGATAAATTTATTTCTATTTTATTACTTTGGCTCGTGTTGGCAGATCAGGATAGGACTGTTTTCGTAACGACTACTATTTCTACTGTTACAGTTCCTAAACAAACATCAACTATCACCCGTACTCATACAACAGTCGTCACTGTATATGTGACAGAAACAACATCAAAAACATCCACGGTAAAAACTACTCAGACCTCAACTAGCACATTGACAGAAACTGTTGGCCGGACTTCACATATTACAACCCACCCCATTACTACAAGCACAAAACATAAAACTATTTCTTCAACTATAACGACACAAACAGTTACAACTATACCAAGTACAATAACCTCACATGAAGATATCACCGAAGCTAGTACTATTACATCTACCAATATAGTAACTGAATATTCTGAGATGAAAGTAGATTCCACGTTACCGTGGATGTAATAGTTACTCGGACTAAAACTTCTGCAATTTTTGAGACAGCAATTCAATGCTCAACGGTCACAGAAACAGATACAATACATACAACAATACAACAATCACATTATGTACAACTGAAATTTCAACATCTAATATTGATGAAATCTCCACTGATATTATATCAGAAATTACAACTACAACTGAAAGTCAAAAGTATACTCTTACTTACACGACAGACACCACAGTTACTTCCACATTTCAACTTCTACAGATCTGACAAGTGTCACCTCCAAATCTACTTCTGAAATTTTTATAACTTCTACAGAAGTAAATATTTTTACTGAATCTACCACCATCACCAGCAAGGAAACAAGTAACATTATTTGAAACTTCATATACTACAGAAACAGTACCAGAAATAATTGCTACAACCACCACCACTACTTCGATAGATGTATTCATCACCACTTTCCCTCAAACTGTGACTGAGACAATAAGTACCACCACTACAGATATTCAGACCCCGACGGTTACTTCATTCTTCACCACAGATATTAAGACCGAGACGATTAAGTTAATCATCACAGATATTCAAACCGATAAAATTTTTTCCACTACCACAGAATTTGTTACCTCGACAACTTGTTCTACCTCTCTTCAAACTTTGATAGAAACAACTCATGTCACATCTTCAAATATTAAAACAGAGACTACCACCATTTCAGTAAAAACAAAAATGACTGAGGTTTTTTGTACCACAACTACAAGTACTGAGATCATGACAATTCATGCCACGACCACAGAAGATACTACTGTGACAGTTAAGGCTATCATAACAGAAGAAGTGACCAGTAGATACAACAACAACTACTACAACTAAGAAACCTCAACTACAACCACAACAGTTATTGGTGCCACCATTACATCTCTTGAGACAAAGAAAGCAACTGTCACCTCCACATATATTAAAACTTTGAAATCTGAAGTTCTCACTGATACTACTGTCACTTCCACATCAATTATCGAATCTTGCATAACTACAACTGTGAATGTCCCTACAACCAAAACAGCAACTAAATATACATATACCGCTTTAACCTCGACAGAAACTAAAACCAATATTAAATCGGATACCACTAAAACAACAACTACAATTTATTCAACTATTTCTATAATAAGAATAAAAATGGATCATTCTTACATTAAAACTACTACCATCAAAAAAATACTTACGTAACCGAAACTACCGTTAAATCTGTAACACAAAAATGCTCAGCGTTTACCTCAACTATTACCGTCACGCCTTCTTGCGGTACAGTTACTATACTTAGAACTATAAATGTTCCAGGTTCAACTATATGTATTACAGCAAAACCATTTACCTCCATTTTCACGTCAACTATAAGCACCTGTCCATCAACAACAACCTCTAGTACCACTATAGTTCCGACGACAACAACCTCTAGAACAACCTCTACAACAACCTCTAGCACACCTGTATAGGCTTCACACCTTTAAGATAATTCTTTTTTTGCTGACTAAATTTTAAAATCTGAACACTTAATATTTAGATTTAGTATAATTCGCAAGCTCATTTAGAATAATTATATCTTTTTTTTTTATATTTACTGTATATAGATAATCAAAACAATGTGTAAAATTGATTTTTTCGTAAAAAAGTATTCAAAGTTATTATAATAAATTTTCTTGATAATTCGATGCCTATATTTTAATATTCATATGGTTATTTTACTTTATTTACTTACTAATCCAAATTTTTGTTTTGTTAAAGAAGTAAATGAAACAAAATTTTAATCATAGATAACTTTAATCATACGAATATATTAGTAGAATAAATTCATAACTTCTGTATTTTTTTGTTTCCGTTTAATTTGTTCTTTAAATAAAATAAAAATAATAAAAAATATAATAATATAATATAAAACTAATATTAACACTCAATAAGAGCGTGCCTAACTTTATTTAGCAAATATATAAATATATAAAAATAATACGTATATTAAATTTAAAATAAATCTTTAAATAATAATAAATAATAAACTTGATTTTTTAAAATTATACTTTTTTTTTTTTTTTTTTTTTGCTTTAATTAGATTATTTTTTTAAAAATAAAATAAAATAAAATTTTTATTCTTTGTAAGCATATCCATATAAATTCTTTGTATCTTCCAAGTGCCTTAAAACTCTTGGGAATATATCGATATGAGCTCTGTTCCCCCACCAAACATCTAAATGACCATAACCAGTAAGGTTGTGTAAAGCGTATTTAGAACCACCATTATTAAAAATAAGTTTCTCATAAGTTTTCCTCATTCCTTCTTCATTAAACCTATTATAAAATGAAGAAAAAATGGTTATCACATATCACATATCAAATTAATTTTTTTGAATTTTTTTTTTTTGCAAATAATACTTACACAGTATTATCATTTCCATGCATTAAAGTAATAGGGAAATTCAAATATTTTTTAATATTATCATCAGTGACATAAACATCTTCTCCGTTTGGATTTAACAATACTCCTTTTCTTGCAGAATTGGCAAGTTGTTCCATTGTAGTTAAATTAATGGCTCCCATGAATTCATCAAGATTATCATGTAAATTTTGGTTTAAATTTTTATGTTGATAAAGTGTTCCAAAGGCCATTGAATTTCTGTGACACAGCGCATTTCGACATACTCCACCTTTTGGGTATGGATAGAATCGTAAAAGTTGATTAAGAGCGGATTGTAACAAAGTGGTGTGTGGTGAAGTTCGAACATCAAATGTTTCTTGTCTTAAAACCTTTCTGAAAAATTGAACCAAATGAAGATCATTTTTGACTCGATTCCAGAAAGCGAATACCGGATTCATTGCCTATATAGAAATCAAAAGTATTATTATTGTCTGCATATACTGTATATTAATACAATATTTCAATTAAAAATATTTAAAATCTTACCGATTGTGATGCAAAAAGTGAACCGACTCCTTCAATTTGTCCACTCAATAGACCCATAAATGTTAAAGGTGATCCAAAACAATGTGCAATCACCGCAATCTTTTCACATTCAGTAATTCGTCGAATATCATTTACAGCTTGTTTAACATCTAATACACAATCTTCAATAGTATGCTGATTAAAACTTTCTGCATTTGATGGAGCAAGGCGATAATCAACCAAGAACACATCATAATTGTTTTCAATGAGATAATCCAAAAAGTTATGTTTAATTAAAGTTGTTGCAAACATATCATGTGTTACAGAAGCACCGTGGACCTAAAAGAATAAATAATAAAATAAGAATAATAACATATAAATATTAAATAAAAAAAATAAAAATAAAAATAAATGGTGTTTACCAAAAGTACAGGACCCTTATTTCCTCCTTTATATCTATATAATTTTGTTTTCACTCCATCTTCGGCAATCACATCATAAGATTCTTCAGCTGGCCTACTTCTTTCATAATGTTGCACATTACTTTTATCTGAAGAATACTGCAACGAAAGAAATCTGGTCAAAGTACGTTCAGCCATAGTTTGGCCGAAGAACTTGAAAAAGTCAACCACAGCACCAACTCTATCTAACGCCGTTGGTCCATATGTCTAAATATTTCAATAAATATTTCATAAATAATGTTCATAAATTAAATAAAGAAAAAAATTGTTGAATTATTAGTTAGTATCGTTAGTATCGTTAGTTACCGTGAATGTAGACATCTGTTTAATAAAATCATTTGGTAATATTTCTAAAATTCCTCTTCCAATAACTTTTCTTCCTTCATCATCATCCGCATCCGAATCAGTATCGAAATTTAAATCATCACCATCACGAAATTCATAAACAGAAACATATAATGTAGTTACATCTACCACAGCATTTAAGATGTTAGATTGATCCAACAATTTAAATCCTTTAAACCGATATTTAGTTCCATCAGTAGCCATCAGATTAAGGTTATACATCATAGAATTAGTGTCAACTCTATCTCCCTCACTGATAAAAAGTCGGAATTTTCCTCGAAGAACGCGTAATGGATCAGGTGATAAGGCTCGACATGAAACGGTACCAGCAATCCACGAGTCATCATTCTCAAGGGAAGATAGAGTTTTTACATCGAACATAATAATGTTAAGTAAAAATTGCATGGTTGAATTAGAAGTTTTAGCTTGCACTAAAAAAAAAAAAGATAAATAAGATATCAAATAAAATATGAATATGTGAATAAGAGAAATAAATTAAAGCAATGATTATAATAAAGTTTACACTCACTTTCTGCGGCTTTGTAATCTTTTATAGTGACATCAGTAGAGAAATAACCTCTCATGACTTCAGCAAACGAAATGCTACCTGTTTTTGGAGGCCACATTTCATAGGCATTTGGTCCCATAATTTCACGAGGCCATGCAACAAGTGGATCACTGAAATCGATTTCTTTGTCAACAAGTTTATAGTTAATATCCCACCTTCGATCTTTGGCAGCTAAACTACAAATTCTTTCAGCTAAAGCACTTATGGTTAAGAAAGGATTGACACCAAGAGCCCTTGGTACGATTGATCCATCACATATGTAAAGATTTTCATGAACTTTTGTGTCATCACTTTTGAAAACCTAAAAAGAAAGGATATATTAATCCGATAAATAATTATAGTAAATATGATTCATTTTATAACATTATATAATACATACCTGACCCTTGTGATTTACAACACCCACATAACCATTCTTTCCCATACAACAACCACCAATCGGATGCACAGTAATTAACCCTAAAAACTCAGACCACAAAGGTGACGGAATAAAGGTACCCTTTACTCTAGTAGTAGCTTCCGCTAATAAACTATTCAAATCCTTAACTTGTTTAGTTTTCCCGGCACCTTGATAATTAATACTTAATTTATCATCTTGTAATTCCATATAACCAGTATTGTCATCATGTGACATGATCAAGTAAACTTGAGTATTTGCAATAGCTCCACGATAATTAGAAATCTTGGAAACAAGTTTTCTCGTTTTTCCAACAATTTTTTCGAGCAAAGAAAGGTTGGGTGATACTGAACCTTCGTTATCTTCTAATGAAGAAAATAAAACATTGCAAGCAGCGGCTACAGCATAAGGAATTGCTCCTTCTTCAATTACATAACCATCCAAAACATCGTCAGCTTGTTCACGCATATCAATGATACCAGTAATGGTGGGACCGACGGGAGGTACAAATTCAGTGGGATTATTATTGCCTATAGCGACTCCTATTATTAAAGGACATCATTTAATTTGGTTATTCCAAGCCCTAACGACTAATTTATAAATTATAATATAATATATATTATTGTTTCTTACCGTTACAATACAATTCAGTATTATAACCAAATGCCAATATCTATTGAAAAAAAAATTATTACAATTACAATAAATTAAACGGATATAAAGAATGTGTTAAAAAAAAAAAAAAGAAAAAGAATTTCACATAAAACATAATACTTACATCACCGTTTCCACTAAAGGATTGACCCAACTGTGAACTGATTTCAAGACCAGCTGCTTTTGATCTAAGTAAAATCTCATTGGTACCAAAGGTTCCAGCACCAAGGAAAACAACATCAGCAATCACGAAAAAGAGTGAATTTTGAGAATCAGTCTTAAATGCATGTCGTGAATTCTATATATACATTAAACATAATCAATAATTGAGTATAATACACAAAGAGAGAATGAAATAAAGAAAAAGGAAGACAGGGAGAAACGGATATACCTCTAACCATTCATAAAATACAATCCATTTTCCAGTTTTTTCTTCTTTCTTAATTCTTTTCACATCAATTGAACAAAAAATTTCACATCCATGATTCCAAGCATCAGGAATATAATTCATCAAAGTGCTATTTTTACTTCCATCATTAACTCCTGTAGAATCGTTACCCGATAAAGTAGATTTATTTTGTGGAACTCCAGCATTATTTATTCGATCTTCAAAATGGACAGTAATAGGAGGACGATAAAAGTTTTTTGCATATTCATCACCCAATTTATAAGCTTGTTTTTCCAAAGCCTCAAGTTTAGGAAGAGATGGAAAATCTTCAGGATAAGGAACTGGTTCAAGCATTTCTCTAGCCAGTTTGTAACCTTCTTTTATACTACTATGATCATTACGAATTTCATCTGGCCAAATTGGCATATCCCAAACACGTCGGTCTGCCTCCAGAGCCACATTTGCATTAAGAAGTGAAGTACCTCCAAGTCTAATAAAATATTTTTAGATAACATAATTATAATATTTATATTAATAATTAATAAATAATTCTTCTTTAATTTTTTAACAGTTATATTACAACATATATATATATAAATATATATAATATATATATATATATATATATAAAGTATAATATAACTTACCCACATCCAACATAAGCATCTTGACTTTTTCCATTATAAAAATGATATAATCCATCCCGTTTACCCACGTGACCTGTAGCGGAACTATACTGAATTTCTTTTAGACATTCATTCCATTCTACTGGATATTCTCCAGGCCATCTTTCTTCACCTTTTTTTTTTTTTATAGATATAAATTATTTTTTATTATTTTGAATATACATTCGATAATTTTTGATTATTTGAGTACTGAGTTAATAATTTTTTTAAAAAATAACCTTTTTCTAAAAGTGCAACTTTCTTTCCGGCTCGTGACATACGAGAGGCAGCAATAGCTCCACCGTAACCTGAACCAATTACCACTACATCATAATGGGATCTCATATATGGTGCAGGAAGTGATATCCTACGTTTTTCTTTAATATCCATTTTTATTATTCGTTTATGTAAAAAAAAATTAAACAAATTTCAGAAGGTACAAAAACGAGATATATATATTTTCAATTCTGACATCACGTGTGTGTGAGGCAGTGTTTAATGAAAGATACATCGTTTTCTACTGTTTTTCCATTTTTCTATAATTATTAGAATTGTTGGGGTATCAATGAATTAATCAATAATTGTTTGAACTATTATAAGAAATTCCCACCCTATTTGAATAATCATTGAAAAATGAGTTATTATTTTTAGTTCAATCGTTTGTACGATTTGGTTTAAAAACCTGCATAAAAATTGATTACTAGAAACACCTTTATTTCCCATGTACATTAAAATTGATTAGATCTATTTGATTTTTCTTTAGATTGTTCATTTCATCAGTTTTAACTTTAATTGATTAATAAAACATCTAAACCTCAATTTATCAAAAAAAAAAAGTGGAAGACATTGAAATTAAATAATTTCAAAAATACATTTTATTCTTATATTCGTTCTTTTCTGTCATATTATTCTATTATATTATGTTGCTCAATAAAAATTAAAAACTTGTTGATAAACTAATTCTAGAATTCTATTTATCGAACCAATAGAATTCACATGTATTCTTTTACTAATTTTGGTATTTTCTTTCCGATATCGATATATAAATTAATGGAAATTATTTTAATTTAAGTTAACTTACCTTTTATATCCAAACGTTACATTGAAAAAATAACAAAGCCCATCTTTACTAAAATTATTGCCAAACTATTTGATACATTATATTCAAAAAAAAAAAAAAAGTGATTTATATTATCATAGCTTTTAAAGGACACCGATGTAGGAAAGTAGGAAAATTTAATAATTTTATATGAATTTTTTAATAATAATACTAGTTGAGAAAAACTGTATTAAAAGAAAAAGGGAGAGAAATAATAGGAAACTATATTAAAAGGAAAAAAGATAAACTATACTGATGGAAGGAAAATTATACCAATGATAATGAAAGTAATCTATTTTGAAAGGGAGGAAAGCTATTTTATCATTACTCTAATATAAAAAAGGGGATAAACCTTATTTTTTTAAAAAAATTAAAAAAAAAAAAAAGTGAACTGTAGAAAAGAACAAAAATCTGTTGGTATATCATTTTTTATTATTATTTTGAATTTACCTGTACGTATTTATCAAAAAAAAGAAAGTTCGGAGCAAGGAATAACTTTTTTATTTTATGTTTATCTTTAGTTTTAAATTAAAAAGATTAGGATATTAAGAAAAAAAAAATGGGATAAAATATAATTAATATGTTCATTATTTTGGCATGCCAAAAACCAATTAATTTAGGCGTATGATCTTAAATTAATTGTTATAATCTTCAGATGATAATAGCCCATTGGTAATTTCTCTCTATTGTGCAAATCGAATTTTTATAACAATTATGTTTTTTAAAACTTAAATAAATATATATAAGCTAATAATAATAAAGTAACAATATTCACAGAGTAAGAAAGGTTAGACAGATATGTTTAGTTAAATGTTGATTAAATATATGTAAAATTTCGAGTTGGATACTTTTATTTAGAGGTCGAAAGTGGTTAGAATAATAAAATATTGAGCTTTTTTTAGACCTTCATACTGTAAATTGGCTGATATTCTTGCCATGAATTACTACCTGTCAAAAATATGTCTTCCATTATAAATAATAAACTAAAATAAAAATATTTTTATAAACAATATTCACTTATATAAACAATATACATATAAAAATTACAGTTACACAAAATTTTCTTAAATAGCAAAATTAATATCTTATCTTAATCGTGTAATGGTAGTTTACCTTTTTCAAAGTATCTGCAGGCCAACTAAGCGAAAACTTTATTTGGTCGCTAGAAGATAATTTATTTTAACCAAAGTATCGAAAGTAAACTGAGAAATCTTTATAAAAAAAAGTTTTCATTTGTGGTAACTAAGTTTGACACCTATCACATGTACTGTATTTAGTTATACTACATATGGAAGAGACATTTTTGTATTGCTAATATTCATGAATTGAATTGAAAAGTTGTCATTTTCTTATATTTGATCAAATATCAAATTTTTAATGAATATTGGACAGTTATTCAATAATGTAATGTTTTACGTACTGTATACTTGTTAAAACTGAACAATAGTTATAATTTGTTGGTAGAACCAATCTTGTTAATTTGTCAACAAATTACATTTTTATATTATTAAAGACAAATAAGGATGAGTATTTCAAATAATACCATATCATACGACGAATTTTGATATAACGAATTTCTTAATATAGCGAATTTTCCTTCATATAAAAATTACTATCTTTCTTTATTACTGCGTTCAATTTTCTATAATCAATGCAAATCCTTTTTGCTTTATTAGGACAACTGGGTTATAACGTAATACGAAGTTAACCTGATGTATATTAAAAGTACCTCCTCGATGAATAACGAATTTTTTTTTTCAGAATTTTTCCAAGCCGGTTTTTGGCGAATTCTGAAGCTAAAAAGATGATTAAACTACCATTGAAAAGCTTGAAACAAGAGCTTTCAAATTGTTCTAAGAATATCTTAGTGAAGTACATAATCTTTGATAATTTTATTGAAGATACTTGTTAGAAGTATAAATATAGCATATAAATAATAAAATTATAAATTTCAATTAATTAATTAAAAAATATATAACGAATTTCTAAAAATATTCGTTATACCAGGTTTTTTTATTAATTTTTTTTTATAACGAAGGCTTGGCTCAGCCACTAACATTTTCATCCATTTTTTATTTATATTTGTAAATAAAATCTTATATTTTTAAATAAAATTCTACTAAAAGATTTTTAACACGAAGATTATTTAAGCATCAGCCCTAAAATTTAAAGTTATTTATAAAATTGAATATGTAAATATGTCGGGGATCCCAAAGTTGTACAATGTATTATTAAACTACATTCTATAGGAAACTTTTCGTTTTGGGGATAATTTTTGATACAATGATATAATAACAATGATATAATAATGTGTAAATGTAAAAGTAAATTCTAATAATTCATGACATATCATAATTATATAATTTATGTCAATTTATATTTTTTTATCTTGTCAAACCATAATAAAGAAATCTTTGTGTCTAAAATTCAACTAGCATATATGCAAAAGAAATCTCTTGTTTAATTTAAGCCATGTGAAAATCCATAATTTTTAGAATTTACTGAATAAATATTAACCCTTAACCAAATATAACTAATAATATAATATTGAAATAATGAAATAATAATGAGATATATAACAAATAAAGTAATAATATAATATTCAAATAATGAAATAATAATGATAAATAACAACAAATAAAGTAATAAAAAAAATATATCAAGTAAAAATAATTAAATCAAGTAAAAATAATAATGATAATTAAATAAAGTAATAATAAATGTAATAAAATTTGAGAAGAAATTTATAAAAGTTGCCAAATTTCCATGGAAATTCTCATTATCGTTTATAGTTCAAATGCATGTACAAAGTTGATCAATATAGGGATTAAGAACAATGAAAAAAGGGAATTTTGATATACAGCATTATATAATAATCTACAAAAAAAGTTGTCCTACCTTAACCTCTAAAAAAAAACTTACAAAAAGCGACGCGTTGATGGTCTGGAACGGTCTGGTCGATTCTTTATTCTACTTTATTACTTTTCGAAATAAGCAGAGAATGCAAAACGATAAAAACAATAAAAATATAGTATCTCGATTTCCATAAACAAAACTTATCAACAATATCATAGTACTGTATACTGTATTGAGTTAAGAACAATGGAAGTTGTAGAAGACGACGAAGAAAGAATTGAATCTAAAGGAAAAATTGTGTGTGAGAATTGGTCAGGTAATTATATGTAAATTACTTTATAAAAAAAAAATTTAATTTTATAAAAAAAACAAAAAAAAAGATCAAAAAGATGCAGAGTATCTTATCTACACGAAAATTCTTTAAAATAAAGTATAAAATATTTACTTTTTTTGGTAACTCGGAAAATTTTCCGGTTTAGACCTTGGTTTAGATTGTCATAATTTAAATTTTTTCTCTCCTTTTTTTTTTTTTTTTTTTAAAGAGAAAAATTATCATCTTTTCACATTTCTTTATTAAGTATAATTTTACAATATCTTACTCTATTTGTTTTTTTTTTAAAAAATAAAAAGCATATATGTCATTTATTGGAAATGAGGATACCAATATATTGGATACATCAAATCCTTATTCCAATGAACAACCTATACTAGAATTTGTTTATTCTTTTGACTGGGGATCAACCGCGTTGGGTCCTATGGATTCTTGGCCTCCTTGTTTAAAGTCAACTGTGGTAATATTATAAATTTATCATATAATTTATAAGTTAGATAATTTTAATAATTTTATATAATTTTGCAAATTTGATGAATTTAATAGAATATTTTTAATCATTAAAATAAATTACTTGATTACATTTACTATAATAATAGGATTTATGTTTGCATTCTAGATTTCCTATGGCAATTTTTTATGGATCAGAAAAAAATATAATTTATAATGAAAGTAAGCAAAGTTAAATTTGGTGATTCTCTCAAAAATTTCAAAGAAAATTCATCGAATTTTCTTAATTGAATTTATTGAATTCATCGTTTTCCATAGTGTACAGACCGATATTGAAACAGAAACATCCTTCAGGTGATTTGATGATTTGAAATTTAATTTTAATAATCATATAACTTTATTTTTAATATTTATATATATTTGTTATTTTATTTCTTATATGACATCATTTCTTATCTTATATAACATTATTCTTTATTTGTTACGTTATTTATTAATTCAAGCCATGGGTCAACCTATGAGTGAAGTTTGGTTTGAAATTTATGACTTTATAAATAGATTATTTAATCAGTATGTATTTATTTATTTATATATTTCTTAGAATTACACAAGTAAACTAAAAGTTATTATTATTATGAAAATATAGAGTCACCGCAACTGGCAAAGGTTCATTCGAAGATGATTGTCTCTTATTTACGCATCGAGATGGTTACACGGAAGAATGTTATTTTTCGTTTACTTTTAGTCCTATATTCACAAAAAATGGAACTGTTGGTGGTGTATTTGTTGTGGTCCAAGAAACAACTAAACGAATTCTGACTGCTAGAAGATTAAAAACCTTAGGAGAGTTGGGAAAGAAAACAACGGGCAAGTTACATCACCCAACACTCACCCCCTTTTTTTTTTTAAAAAAAAAAAAATATTATTTAATTTATTTTAATTTTGTTTACAGGTGCAAAATCAATTGAAACCGCTTGTCATCTTGTTGCTTCAACTTTACAAGATGATAAGGATATACCTTTCGCTATGATGTATCTTATTGATTTTAATCAAAAGGTCAAAACTGCACGTTTAATTGCTACAACTTTTGATCAAGATATTGAAATAAAAATTGGAGAAAATAATGAACTTCATGAAATGGTTTTTGTGGAAGGAAAATCAAAAAGAGAATTACCCGATTATTTACTTGATACAAATCCTGTTGTAATTCTTGAAGAAAGTGAAGAAAGCAATGATTCATTAAATTCTCTTCAACAAGGTTATGATAATGAAGATGATGATAATAATAATAATTATAATTATACTTCATGGCCATTAAATAAAGTAAATGAAAAAAATCATATAATAGTTACTTTAAAAAATGGTTCTAAAGCAATTCTTTTGCCAATTTCTACATCTTTTGCGGGAAAAACTTTATTGAATGTTATAATGATTTGTGGTATAAATGAACATCGTGCTCTTGATCGTGAGTACATGGAATTTTTACAAGTTTGTATTTTTTATTTTATTTTATTTTATTTTATTTTTTATTATTTTATATTTTTTATTTTATTTTATGTTATTTTATTTTATTTTTTATTTTATTTTTTATTTTTTATTTTTTATTTTTTATTTTTTTTTATTTTATTTTTTTTTTCATTTTAATAATAATCAATAATTCTACTTTAATTTTACTTTTACTTTTTAGCTTGCAGTAAGTCATGTCAGTTCAAGTTTAACTCATGGAAGATCACGTGAAGAGGAAAGAAAGCAAACAGAAATGTTGACAGATTTAAATCGTCAAAAGATAATGTTCTTCCAAAATATTAGTCACGAATTCAGAAGTAAGAAAATAATTATATTATTAATACAATGATACAATGAATTTAAAAATTTTTTTTTATATTACGAATAACTAAATTGAAAAAAAAATCTTTATTCAATTTTTATAGCACCTTTAACATTAATGCTTTCACCATTAGAAGAATCAATTAGACAATGTCCACCAGATAGTCCTATTTTATCAAATCTACAATTGATTAATCGTAATTCTAATAGATTACTTAAACTTGTGAACACTTTATTGCAGGTTTATATTGAAAAAAAAATTTATGATTTATATTTTATTTTTATTTTTATTTTTTTTTTACATTTTGTTTATTATTATTTACATTTATTTTATTTTTATTTGACAAACAAAATATTACAAATATTACAAATATTTCAAAGTTTTCACGTATTGAGGCAAATCGTTTAGAAGCTCAATTTCGGGAAACTGACATTGTAAAATATACACTTGAATTGGTTTCATGTTTTGAGAGTATGGCAAAATCTTTAAAATTGGATTATTTTATAGAAATTCCAAGTTGTAAGGAATTTTATAGTGAATTAAAGAATCCAGTTTTCTTAGATCGAGATATGTATGAAAAAATTATATTTAACATATGTAAGTATAATTTGATTTTACGTAAATTTTATCATAAATTTTATAACTTTTTGATGATAAATAAATTTAATAAATTTTTATAACCTTTTTATAGGTTCAAATGCATTTAAACACACATGGACCGGTAATATAACGGTTCGTTTATATCCGGATCATATTGAAGAAAGGGAAATTGTTGTACTTGAAATTTCTGATACAGGTGTTGGAATTTCCGAAGAAAATATTCCAAAATTATTTCAACGTTTTAATCGTATTGAAGCAAGTCAATCTCGTAGTCACGAAGGTACCGGAATAGGACTTGCCTTGGTAAAAGAATTAGTTACTCGACATGGAGGAAAAATTATAGTAAAATCAGAAATTAAGAAAGGAACCACATTTCGAATATGGATTCCAACTGGTTTAGAACATTTACCGAGAGATCAAATTTATTTTATAAAAGGTGAAGAGGAAGATTTTGGAATAATTGATAATGTGAATAAAAAATTATTTAGTAATAAAGATTTATATTTGGAAGAATCTAATCAATGGATACAAGAATATTGTCAAGAAATTGATAACTCCACTACCCAAACTCAAGGTGAAACTTGTTCGAATAATGATAATAAAGATATTCCTGAAATCATTAATAACAATAGAGAGAAAAATCATGTTTTAGTTGTTGATGATAATACTGATATGAGGTAAATTATATTATTAAGAAATATTATTTTTATTTTATTCTTATTAATTAATTAATTAATTATATCTTATATCTTAATTTAATTTAATTAATTAATTTTTACTGAATAATAATAAAAGGAATTACCTTGGTACATTGTTGAATAAAGAATTTAAAGTGCAACTTGCTAATGATGGGCGTGACGTCTTAAGAATAATAAAGAAAAATTCAAAATTACCTGACTTAATTTTAAGTGGTAAGAAAATATTTTCATATTTAATTTAATTTTATATATATATATATATATAATATATATATATCTAATAAAGATTATTCTTATTGTAATAATTCTTATAATTCTTTAATTATAGATATTTTGATGCCAAATATGAATGGAATCGAATTATTAAATTCTCTCAGATCTGATCCTGTTACTCAAATGATTCCTGTCATCTTATTATCAGCAAAAGCTGGAGAAAATGATAGTGTACGAGGATTAGAGAAGGGAGCGGATGATTATTTAATAAAACCATTTAGTGCTAAAGAATTAATCGCACGTGTAAGAGTTAATATTAAACTCTCCCATCTACGTAATCAACTTTTACTTCAACAAAAGCGACAAACGGAATCCAATCAATTATTATTCTCCATAACTAGTAAAATTCGTTCTGGATTTAATATAGAAGAAACTTTAGATACTGCAGTAAAAGAAATTCATAGAATTTTACCATGTGATAGAATATTTATTACTGAAGCAGATGCGGATATTATAAAATCTCGTATAAGGGCATTCTCAGCAACAGATAGTAATGAATTAAATCGTAAAGGACAATATATATCATATTGTAAAGAAATGTTAAATGGAATTTTGATTACAAGTAAATCTCGTGTTTCAATTGATAATTTTAAATCAAGCAACGATTTAGTTAAAGATTTACGAGAGTCCATAAAAAAGTTGAGCACATGTGAAGATCCAAAAGAAGAAGTTCTTATTCTTGATCATCACTTTTGTGAATTAATTTCATTAGAAGTAAATTCTATCGGTATTCCAATTAATGTAGATTCTTCAATATGGGGATGGGTAACAGCTCATAGACCTTCAGATTCAATTTGGTCAGAACCAGAAAAAATGATATTACAACAAATTACAAGTCAAATAGGGTTGGCAATTACTCACGCTCTTCTCTTGGAAGAAAAATTAAAAAGAGAAGCTCAAATGGAAGCTGCAAAAGCTGCTAATGAAGCTAAAACTCGAATTTTGGCAAATACTTCTCATGGTAAATACAATTAAAATAAATAAATTAATAAATATATACACTAAATAACTCTATAATATAAAATAATAATATTTTATTTAAATTAAAATTAATAAATTTAGAACTAAGAACTCCATTAGGAGCAATTATTGGAGTTTTATCAGCATTCGAAGAGGCACAATTGACCGAAGAACAAAGAGATATGGTTCAAATAATGTCACGAGCATCAGATGTTGTACTTTCAGTAGTTAACGATATTCTTGATGCCGCGAAACTTGAAGCACAAAAAATAACACTTATGAATAGAACTTTTGATTTGATTGATTTAATTGAAAAAACTATTGAAATATTTGGTGAAAAAGCTGGTAAAAAACAAATAGAATTAATTTTGTGCATTGAGAACGCTTTACCTAAATTTGTAAAATCAGATCCTGAGAGGTAAAGATAATTTTTTTCTTCTTTTAATATTATCTTTTTAATATATGTATATATTTAATTTAATATTTATTTTGATATTTATTTTAGGTTTCAGCAAATTTTAATGAATTTATTATCTAATTCGTAAGTCCTTTTTTTTTTACTTTTAAATTATATATATTTTTTTTAATATTAAATATATATATTAAATATATATATATTAATGAATTAATTTTTAATAATTTAAAAGTGTAAAGTTCACTGAAAATGGAGAAATTGTTCTTAAAATTTCAATGATGGATGAAATTGATGAAAGTGATATAAATGAAAAGGGAACATTATATATAGAATTAATTGATACTGGTATCGGGTAATTATTATTTTATCAACTTAATTAAATTAGGTGTAATAATTTATTTATTATTTAATTTATTATATTTATTTTATAATTTATTTAGAATTAATCCATCATTTATGAAAGATATTTGGGAAAGTTTTTCACAAGGAGATCCATCCTCGACCAGAGTTCAAGATGGTACAGGATTAGGTCTCTCTATTTGTAAACATTTAGTAACAATTAATGGTGGTAAATTAGGAGTTACCAGTAAATTAGGAAAAGGAAGTCGATTTTGGTTTACATGGAATGTTGAACCAGTTCCTTCTTTTGTTATGTCGATTTCCCAAATTCCTTCAACTCCTTCTTTACCTTCTTTATCTTCTTCGACATCATCTTCACCTTCATCTTTACCATCTTCATCTTCACATTCACATTCTCAATCCACAAATACCAATAATTGTTTTGATATCAAAAATAATCTAACTTCAGAGATAGCACGAACTAAACGTATTTTAGTAATAGATCCTGTTGCTTTATCTCGTACTTCTTTAATAAAATTTATTCATGAAAGTGTTGAACGAATTGATGCATTTGATGCATCAGAAAAAGGTATTAATGCTGCTAAAGAACGGAAAAAACGAAATAGCAATAATAATCATAATGATGAAATATATGATATTGTATTCTTTAATTTACGTGAAGATACAATTGGTGATGTTACAAACGGAGCGAAAGAATTAAGAAAAATATGTGGGGAGAATTTATGTATAGTATTACTGATTTTCTGGTCAGCTGAACATCGAGCGTTAGGACAAAAGATAACGAAAGAAATTGGAGGACAAGTTTCTACATTATGTAAACCAATGTTGCAAAAACGATTATTGGGCTTTTTACATAATAATGATATATTTAAGTCGTCATCACCATCAACAACATCATCACCTGAATTTAATATAGTTAAACCATTTGCAGATTTAGCAGTTGAAAGGTTTTATCAATCTAAACATCCTACGATATCTATTAACAATAAAATGATTAATAATAATATAAATAAAAAAGCGGATGGGTCAAAGACTTCTTTAAAAAGAACGAGAGAAGACAACTGTAATCAAAGTTGTGAATCAAAACCTAAAACGCCACGTATTGATTCAAAATCCGAATGTATATTATGTGTGGTAAGTATTATAATTACTGTTTAATTATTTAAATTATTTAAATGATTTTATTTGATAACTTATTTTTATTTATTTTATATTTTTTATTTTTGCAGGAAGATAATCCCGTAAACTTAAAAGTAATATTACATCAACTTTCTAAACTTGGATATCAAACGTTATCAGCTACAAATGGTCAAGAAGCATTAAATTTAATAGAAAAAGAATTTGGAGATCTCTCAAATGAAGGGAATTTTAAATCTGAATCATCAAAAATTTCTTTGATATTAATGGATTGTATGATGGTAAGTTATTATCATTATTGTTGTTATTGCTTATTATTATTATTAGATTTATGATATTTAATATTATCATTATTATTATTATTATTATCATTATTATTATTATTATCATTATTTCTCTCTCTCTCTTTCTATATATATATATATTATCGTATTGAATATAGCCAATAATGTCAGGATATGACGCAGCAAAAGCCTTGAGATCGATGAAACCTCCTATTTCAAAAATACCAATTGTTGCTTTAACTGCTTCAGCTATTCAAGGATCACGAGAGAAATGTCTCGAATTTGGAATGGATGATTTTCTTACGAAACCTTTAAAGATGGGTCAACTTAAAGAAATGTTAAATAAATGGTTAAGAAAAGACGAACCATAAAATTTTTGTTTTTTTCATCTATTCTAATAGTTTTTTTCCTTTTCTTTTCGTTTTGTAAAATATAATAATTTTTGAAATTACTCGTGTAAAAATATATATATATATATATATATATTATTTTTTTTTTTTTATTAGTGCTCAATTATGATTGGACTCGCTCTTGTTTTTTTCTCGATTATGGTCATTTCGCCGTTTAATTTATTCGCATCATTTATTTATTCTTTATTCACTTCGTCTATCACTTACCTTCTCCTTTTATTTCACATATATATCTTATAAAAAAACCTTTTTTCGTATTAACACTCATATTAACACTCTTCGCATGTACCATTAATTTTTTATGTTATAAGTATGATCATTACATATATATTCATCATTATTTTTCGAAAAATTTATTTGCAAGAAATTCCCAATTTCAATAATTTCAATTCTCGATAAATTTGATAGACTTTAATGATTTCTTTTTAATATTCCTTTTTAATGTGAATTAGTACTACGATGTTATTTACAATATGCACTGAAAATATTTTTATATAATATTTTCTTAAGTTAAAATAAATAAATTAAAACCATTGGTTAGGCTTTGATACATCAAGACGACAATTGTCGTCCAAAAAAAATTTTTTTTAATTATTTCTTCTGTCTCGTCTAAACTATGTAGTGTAGTAACATTCTTTTTCTTTTAAGCAAAAACAAACATGATAACATTATGTGCTATAAAAGTTTTTCAAATTTCAAACTTTACACGTTTTAAGCAGATAAACCAGTTTGTTAATTTGCAGTTTAAATTAAACGATTGAAGTGTTTGAAATTCAGTAAAATTCGAATTTCAAACACGGATAGAGTCTACCTCAATAGTAATTCAGGGGCTAATATTTAGCGTAAAGTATCGCTATTCTTGACTCTTATACAGTTTTGATTAGCATCATTTAGTTCACGCAGGAAAATACTAACTAAAGTTTACATTATTATAGCTCCCAAAACCTCTAATTTATAATATTGATAAGTTTCCTTCGGGGTTATTGAGTAAATTTTTTTCTCTATTAGTAAATTATCATGTGACTAGACTCTAACCTTAAGTATTAGATTTTGAATATTCATTTATTAGAGATGTTCTTTGTCACGCTAAAAAGATAAATAAAGATTAAATAAATTTCCATTTAAGATGAAATGTTGTACATTGTTCGATTATCAGAGAGATAATTCTTTCTCATTTTCCTTTTTTTAAAAAAATGACAAAAACAACAAAAACTGGAAAAGCTTTTATTTGTTTTCCTTCAAGAAGATCAGTAGTTTATAGTACTCACGCAATGGTTGCAAGCAGGTTGAATATAAATATTTCTATTGAATAATATAAATATATTAAACATTGATAAGTATCGAATATATCGAATATAAATATTGATCTAATATAAATATTTTAAAATAATAATAATAATAATAATAATATCAGTCAGCCATTAGCATGTCAAGCAGGATTAGATATTTTAAAGAAAGGCGGAAATTCTGCAGTAATTTTTCTTTTGAATTTAATTAAAACTCTAAATTTTGAATTAATTAATTATATTAATAAATTATTATTTAAATTAGGATGCCGCCATTGCCATAGCCGCTGCCTTAAACGTTACTGGTAATTGAATATAAATATATAAATATTGAATATAAAATATAAATATTGAATAATATATAATTTGACTATATAATATAAATATTGAATATTATATAATTTGAATATATAATATAATATCTGAATATTATATAATTTGGATAAAATAGAACCAGCATCGACGGGAATCGGAGGAGATTGTTTCTGTCTCTTTTATGATGCCAAGAATAAGAAAGTTAACGCATTAAATGGATCTGGAAGGTAAAGTAAATTTTATTATTATAAATAAGATGAATAAAGGAGTAAGATGAGATGAATAACAATAAAATTATTTGATACAGATCTCCCGCAAAATTGACATTAGAATATGTTCATAATACTTTGGGAATTAATCAAAATAATATACCATTCAATAATATTAATGCTGCTACAGTTCCAGGAGCAGCCGCGGCTTGGGTTGATACAATTAATAATTTTGGTAGTGGTAAATTAAATTTATCCGAAATTTTACAACCAGCCATTGATTTAGCAGAAAATGGTTTTCCGGTTTCTGAAATAAGTGCATGGATGGTATTATATATTTATTTATTTATTTATTTATTATAATCTTATCTGTTTTGTTATAACTCTATTATTGTAATCTTATTAATTGTTAATAGTGGAAAAAAGGAGAAGATCTTCTCATGGCTTCACCAAATGGAGGTGACATGTTAATTAATGGTCATGCACCAAAAACTGGTGAAATCATGCGTATGCCAAAATTAGCCAGGTATAATGATGTTGTTAGAATGATTAATTATCGTTATCATTCATTAATCATTTATTGTTAGAACATTTCGAAAATTAGCGGAGAAGGGCTATGATGGATTTTATAAAGGTTATTTTATTTATTATGACAATTATTGAATCATCATTTAATAATAATAATATTCTATTATTAATATAATCTATATATATATATATATATTAAAATATATATTATTTATAGGAGAAATAGCTCAAGCAATTGTAAATTTAGTTCAATCTAAAGGTGGAGTTATGTCTTTGGATGATTTGGCTGCACATACTACATCACGTGTGGATCCCATAAGTATTGATTATAAAGGTTTCACTATTTGGGAATGTCCTCCGAATGGACAAGGTTAAAAATCATTTTTTTTTTAAAAAAAAAAATAATAATAATAAAAGATTATTGAATATTATAGAAGAATATTAAATCCGATCTTCATATATTTATTTTTATATTATATAAGGAATAACGGCACTTATGACATTAGGGATTCTTGAATCCCTTCAAGAAAGTGGAAAGATTAAAGATCTTAGTAAAATGCAACATAATTCTGTAGAATATTTACATGCGATAATTGAAAGTTTACGGTTGGCATTTGAAGATACTAAATATTATGTTTGTGATCCAAAAGATTATCATATTCCTGTGAAAGAACTTTTATCCAAAAAATATCTTGCCAAGCGAGCTCAATTATTTGATTCTGCCAAGGCAACAGTTGATATTGAAAAGGGATCACCTGATAATTCGAGTGATACTGTTTATTTTTCGGTTGTTGATGATGAAGGAAATGCATGCAGTTATATTGTAATTATTGTAGTTTATTATTGTAATTAATTATTTCTTATTTTTATCATTAATTAAATTATTTTATTCTTTAAATTTAGAATTCCATTTTTCATGGATTTGGAACTGTAAGTAATATATTTTATAATATATTTTATATATATTTTATATTTATATATATTATATATATTTTTAGGCAGCAGTTCCTGAAGATTGTGGATTTATTCTTCATTGTCGTGGTGCAAGTTTTGTTTTGAAGAAGGGACATCCAAATTGTTTAAAACCTAACAAAAGACCTTATCATACTATTATTCCTTCTATTGTTACTAAAAATGATGAATTATGGTTAAGTTTTGGTGGTAAATATTATTATTATTATCATTATTCTATTATCATTATTCTATTATCATTATTTTATTATCATTATCATCATCATCATTATTTATTTATAATATTTATTTTATTTTTTAGTTATGGGTGCATATATGCAGGTATATCAATTTATGGTTTATATAGTTCATATAGAGAAAGTTGAAGATAATAACTCAATAATTATTATTTATTATTTATTCAGCCACAGGGTCATGTGCAAGTATTTCTTAATATGGTTGAACATAAATTTAACCCCCAAGTTGCTCTTGATGCTCCAAGAATCATGATTGAACCATTTTGTCCTAAAGATTTAACTTCAATTGTATACATTGAAGATGGAATTGGTAACAACAACAATAATAATAATAAAAATAATGTTGATGATGATGATGAGGGTAATAAAGATAAAAATGTTATAAAAAAACAACTTGAAAATTTAGGGCATAATATAGTAACAATTAAAGAATGGGATAGAGAAAAATTTGGAAGAGGTCAAGTTATTCAAAGAATAATTGATGAAAATACTGGAATTAGAGTTTGGTGTGGTGGTAGTGATCCTAGAGGTGATGGTCAAGTAATTGGTTGGTAAATAAATTTATTAAAAAAAAAAAAATATTTATACCTTTGTTGATAAATCTTTATTAATTTAATATCAATAATATCAATGTGCAACATGTATTAATCTCTAATATCTCTAAGCAAAATTTTAATAGTTCTCATATTATTCATATTATTTAGTTTTGATTATTAAATTTCTGTCTCTAATTTTTTTTTTTATTGATATTAATTCGCTTTATATTCTCTATGTTCTCTGTTTTGCATCTTTAATATCTATGGCACAGCAATACAGACATTTACATTTAAAATTGATATAATAATTTATAAATTTCTCACTGGACCAATTCTTTTACTTATATTTCTTTCATCTAATCATCTAATGGATTAACTCTTCCACGATCATAATGATATTTTCTTTATTATGTATATCCTTACAGCAAACTATTATTTAAATGCTAAATATCTCGAAAATAGGGTTATTAATTCCAGAAGTTGTTCGTCACTTTTTTGTTTGCAAATTTATTTATTCCTATTGTCACCTCATTTTAAGTATACACGAGAAAATTTCTTTCACCATGAATTTGCCGAATCCTAATTCGACATGAAATTTGATAGTCACATCGATCTTGTTTTCAAAAATATTACTTAATAAGTTTGAAATTCGATAGATATTTCCGCAAATAAATTTGTCAGCTTAAATATCTTGCTGATTCTTTATTTAAAAATTGATTTTTGAAATTTTTAAAGGAATATACTTTTGATAATAGGTAACATTTCTTCAAAACTGAGATATATTCACTTGTTAATTCTGAAAATTGATTATAATATTTCTAGATTATAATTTGTCATTTAACGGGTATAAATCTAGTGATTTATTGAACTTCAAAAACATATACATCATCAGCTTGAATTTGGGATATCGACTAATGCATCGATGAAGTAGTCAATGATTATTTGGTTTTGCTATGGAATTTATATATCTTTCTTGCAAAATATATATATCTCAACCTGAATTAACAGATCAATATTTTCGTTTCCTTCGAAGGAGATCTGAAAGTTTCTGACGAGCAATAATACTTTTTTGATTCAAAATTTTAGTAATTCGGATTTTAAATTTTCGCTTTGCATTACAAGTATCTAAATATCTTAATATCTCAATATCTCAATATCTCAACATTAGGCTGTTCATAATGTAAATTGTTAATGAATTTATCTATTGAGAAATGTGGATGATATGATCTTGTTAATGATAATTGATTGTATTTTTTATTTCAGTATTTATTAATAATAAATCCTTTGAAGACTGATATAATATAATGTAATTAGGTTTAGTTTCTCAGTTGTCAATCAATGAGAAATTATATTGAAAAAATTTAAAGTGGTACAAATATAAAATATAAAAACTATAAAAACTTGTTCCGCGATAGAGAATAAAAAAAATCGTAAATTCGAAAAAGATGAATAGAAAGTCAAGATCGAACTTATTGTTCGTAATATTTATTATAACATTAACATTACAATGTTTAATGCAAATAGTAATTGCAGGTAAGTTGAACATTCGAATAAAATATTTAATCATTATTTTAATTTTGTTAAAAATTTTGTTAATTATTAAATATGAATTGTAATCAAAGATGAATGGGACGACGACGACGATAAGTTTGATTCTTCCGAATCAGTGTCGTCTTCAGCACAACCGGCTTTTACTCCCAAGTCCGAGCCGTTACCTCCACCACCCCAACCAATACCAATGTTAGGTAATTTATTTCACATTAGATTAAATTAGATTAGATTGAATTTGTTATACTCGAAATACTCTATAATGTTCATTATGCTCTTTATTATAAAAATAAAATTAATTATAGTCAAACCAACGTTAAAATTGGAGGATTTTTATCGAGAGAGCCTTATTATAGCACTTATTGTCATATACCTTATTAATTATATAATTGGTAAACGAACCAATGAAGGTATTGCAAAGAGATGGTAAATGAAATTAATTATTAATAAATTTATTGTATTATATATATAATATTTTAAAATATTCTCAATTGGGATATTTTTGTTGATTTAGGATGGAAGTTCAATATCGGTTATTCAAAGACAATTTTGCACAAGTAGGAACAGATACTGGAAGTGCTCTTATTAAAGATGGACCAGCGGATTTTTTATTCTATTTAACGGGTCGTCGAAATTGTCAGTATGTTCATGGAAGAATTACGGTCGGTTGTTATTATTAATTTTATTAAATTAAATTCATGTATATATTAATTCAAATCTATTAATTCTTATATTAATTTATTATTATAGCTTAAACCGAGACATGATATTATTCAATTAGTATCAAATTTTATTACATCTCAATTTAGTAGTAATAATATAACTGATACTGTGGTAATTATTATATCTTTTGTAGTAATTTTATTAAATGAAAAGATTATTGAATTATTTTTTTATTTTTTATTTATTTATATATTTAGACATATCAAGTACATATAGATCGAGATTTTGATAACTTTGTTTTTGGAATTACTTCAAAAGATAAAGCAAAGAAACTTCGAAGTTCTAGATATGATTTGGTATAAATTATAAATTATTAATTTATTTATTTATAATTTTAAACTGTTATAATTTAATTTAATTATTTTTTTATTTGAAATTTATAAATTTAACAAATAATTTTAATTTTAATTTATAATTTAGGGAGATTTTACTAAACAATCTAATAATAAACAACTTCCAGACAAATTGTGCGTACATAGTGAATCTTTAGAAATAACTGACACTATTCTTGTTAATCGAGTTGTGGAATTAATTAAATCAGCTGCTGAATATTTAAATGCTATTATAATTACTGATCAACCACGTCTTAGACCTGAAAAGTATGATCTCATTTTTATTTATTTATTTATTTATTTTTTTTAATTTTTTAATTTAATTAAAATAATAATTCATCTTTAATTTTAATTAGACCTATTGATGATCAACCAAAATTGTTTATATTAATGTGTGATTTACCTGATTCATTATCACAATTTGAAAAGACTTTACCGATATCTGAATTATTAATGTATTTAATTGATTTTATTCCAGCCGAATGTACTTTTAGAGGAGAAGTAGGTTACCTTGAATTATATTATTTCTATTATTTCTATTATTCTATTTTTATTTAATGATTTATTAATAATTTTAGACTAAAGCTAAAATCACCAAAAATAGAGAAATAGCTGAAAAAACTATACAAAAAGGATTAGAGGGGGAAAGGCAAGAGGTAAATAATTTATAATATGTGTCTTCGGAAAAAAAATAATACATAATCTATAATTAATTACTTTGACTTATTACATCGGTTTATTACATCGATTTATGAATTAGGCCATACAACAAAAGAAAGCTGATAAAAAACGTGCCGAAGCTGAACGTATCGCTAAATTATCACCCGACGAACAGAGAAAGGTACATTATTCTAATTATTTATTATTTGATTATATTTTATTTCATTTTTCGTAAAGTTATTAAAAATAAAAATCATTATTATATCTTTTATATTTTTATAAATAATTCAATAATAAATTTAATATATTTAGTATGAAGAAAAAGAACGAAAGAGAGAATTAAAGAAAAAACAAAAGAAAATGATCAAAAAAGTTTAATTCATATTCATTTAATTATTCGAATAACACTCTCACTCATAATAATAAATAAAATAAAAATAAATAAAAATAAATATTATTTGAGAATATTTAGAATCAAAAAATTTATTATGTAATAATTTATTATGTAATAATTAATTATTTTAATTGGTAATTTACAAATAACTTTAATAAACAAGTAATATTTTTAATTTTTCAAAAGTTTTAAGTTCAATATTATGGTGTTATTTAAAGTTTGAAACATAATATAAAGTTATAAATGCATTTATACATCTATATCGGGAATTAAAGTTATTATCCATTTCTATTTAAGACTCATAATTATAAAGATGACATTTATAAACATATCATAAACTATAAGTCTTAATTTTTCTATAAATAGGAGTTCTAATTTAAATTTAGGTTATTGATGAAGTTTGAAAACTTTTATTTATTTATTTATTAAAGTATATTATTATAGCGAATATCATACATCTAAAAATTTATTTCTAAAAATTTTATTTGATTTCATTCATTACTTAACAACGATAAATTTAAATTTGCCTCGAAAGACTTACCTATTATACAAATTTATAAAACTTTTAAGAATAATTTAATCGTTAGTTTATCTGAAAAGAATGTAAAGAAATTTGTTTTTTTTTTCCTGATTATTATAATTCATTATCATTTAATGAACTTAATAAAATAATCTGTCTCGAGAACTTTATTTTGATCGGATCGATTATAATAATACATTAACAATAAAAAAATTTAAGTGTTTTTTATAAAAACAACAAAAGAATTATTTTATTATAAAATACCCAATGTTCCTTAAAAATAAATCCATACGAAAGATTATCATGATAATGTATAACTACATAATAAAATTTTTACCATTACCAAAAGAAATTCTCTTTTTTTTTTTTAACAACTAATAGAGTCTCCTCCAATATCCATAAATAATAACATAAAATTAAATTGGCTCTACCACTGAAGTAAAAGAATAAAATAAAACAAAAATAAAGAAAATCAACAATAAAAAATAAAAAATCTACGCAAAGAAAGAAATAAATCCCAGATTCACTAATAAATAAAACTACTTATAAAAAGAAATAAATGATTAGTATTCATCAATAGTATACAAGTAAAAAATAAAGAAAAGTAACTCATCTGGCCTGACCCAAGAAAAACTGAAACTAGACGCATACAAAAAACAATGAAAATTAAAAAAAGAATAAAGCAATCATGCGAAAACGAACAAAAAATAATAAAAATTTACCTAAAAATAAAGAAAAGCGAATCATCAACCAAAAACCAATACATCTGGCCTGTACACCGATAAAAGAAAGTCGAAACTAGCGAACAAACCAAAAACCATAAAAAATAAATTTAAAAATGAATCCATAAAAGAAAGAAAGATTAGTATAAGCGATTTTGCAATAAATAATAAAAATAAATAATAAAAATAAAGAAAAAAAAAGAAAAAAAGCTCAGTACCAAGAAATAAAAAAAAAAAACAAAAAATACTTACTTAAAAATAAAGAAAAACGGTCCTTTTCGAATTCTTACGAAGGCAGTCGAATATAAAGCTAGAGAATAATCAAAAAAATTTTCGCGACAATCAGAGAGGGATTCAATAAATATGGGTTTGGTTTTGGTACAGCTGAGAAATTTGTAAACTTGATTCAGAGCATAAAACAACTCGAGTGAACGCGTCTTTTCTATGGCTGTTGTCTCAATGTCTTCGGCATTGTGACATATATACTAATAATCTTGAATACTAATCTTGTGTCAACTTATTTATATTATTTCCCGTAGCTTCGAGCATTCCAAGAAGTTGCTGATTTCTTCATTCTTTTTTCTTACCTCTGTTCTTATTTGAAACATTCCTATGTTATTTATTGTCTTTAGATATAATTGCCGAGATAATAGAAAAGCTGGTTCAAAGTCTGACAGTTCTGAACTGAAAAATTTCCTTAATGGAAAGCTCTCATAACCATTTTTTCCTTATTTCCTACTGGAAATCTCGGTGGCATACAGACAAAAACGAGATATATATTTTGTACAAAACCAAGAAGCGGAATGTATTTCACTCTTTTATAAGCATTTAGGACATTTAATTTCCTCTCCCACATATTGAAAAAATGAAGATTCGTATCATTCATTTTGGGATAGAATTATTAAAAGTATGATAGAGATTGCAATACTAGCAAACAAACCTCAACAGGTAAAGTTAATTAAATAATAGCAATTGATCGATAGTAATATATAATAAATTAACAAAAATATAGGTCGAATTGCTCAGGTATGATTGTCCTTTTCGAGGGAAAGAAAAGTCTTGGGAGGATACTGGAGATCCTTCAAAAGAATTCGGAAATTGGATCCATGGAGATGCTCTGTTGATATCCTCGTCATTTTCGTTACTTTGCATAATCCTGAAGAAGGAAGAGAAAACGAAGTGTTTATTCCTTACGGTTTGATTTAGCACGTTTGTTACGTAGAATTCGTACCATGAATTTTCTTCGAAACATTTCCTTGAGCCTTAAATTACTTTCACAAATGGCTAACTTATTCATTTGTTATTTATTTAGGTCGTATATTCCCTATCATAGCGAATTTATGCCCACCAAGAGAGTAACCAGACTTTGAAACAATTATACAATCAAATGGAACCATTATCACATTATCGAACTTGGATATTTTGTTACGAAAAGATTTAATGACAGAAAGTTATTTATTTAAAAGAAATTTATGGAATGTTATTTGCATTTCATGATGTGTCGTCGCATGATAAAAATTTGGCTTTTATTTAATAATTTTAATAATTTCATTTAGAAATTAATACAATTATCATTCAATTTATTTTGAACATTTATTATTTTTCAAATTTTCAAATTAATTTTATTTATTAATAAAAATAAATTTATTTAATTTTGTGTTTTATTGTAAAATAATAATACAGTATGAGAAATGTATAAAAATTTGGTATGGTTACATTCTAATAAAAATAAACAAATTTTATAAATTAAATACAATAATGAAATAAATGAATAAATGAATAAAAAAAATGAATAAATGAATATTAAAATATTTAAAAATATTTATTGGAAATTTAAAAACAAATGAATTTATTCTTTTTTGCCATAAGTTCTTCCATTCGATACTCAAGTTGACTTCTCGCTTTCTCGGCAGATTCTTTGGCCTTTCGTTCTTCTTCCAATACAGATTCAATAACTTTCTTTTCTTCTTGTACTGAATTCTTAGCATTCTCAAATTGTATCGTAGCCTCCTCTAATTGTGTTCGCAAAGCCTTTACTTGACTTATTAATTTGGCCTTTTCCTGTTGTAATGATTGTAATTGTTTTTTAGCCATTCGAAGATTTGATTCAGTATCATTTAGTGATGTCTCAAGAGTTTCAACGTATTCATTATTTTGCGATTTCTCATATTCCATTGATGATATTTTCTCTTGTAATTTTGAGATTTCTGTCGATAAATCCAATAAATCTTGTTGCGAAGTTGATGGAGATGATTGAATTGGTGGTGGCGGTGATGGTGATGATATTATTTTATTATTATTGTTATTATTATTTGTATTATTATTATTGTAATTATTATTATTATTATTATCATTATTATTATTATTATTATTATTATTATTATTACTATTATTATTAGGTGATTTTCGTTCAAGTTCATTAATTTTATTTTGAAGAGTTTTGATAATATCATTTTGTTGTGTTATTGTACTTTCATGTTCCAAAAACTTTGTATATGCAGCATTTTCCTCCACATTATTCATGTCATTATTATTATTTATTTGAATTAATTTATCATTTTCTTCTATTAATCGTATAATTTCTTTTTCCATCTCTAAAATCTCCATCTTGGATTTTTCTTTTAATTGCGATATCTCTTCTTCCAGAGAAAAGACTTTTGTATTTAATTCAGTAAGTTGTGCAGTAGTTTCATTTTCTTCTTGGCCGGCCAATTGAAATTTTTGCGTTAATGATTCTATTTTCGTTTCAAGTTGGTGTCGTTCTTCTGTTAAGCTTTTGTTCGCTCGTTTTAATTCATCCCTTTCACTTTCAAGATTATATATTTTTTCTTTTACCGTTTCAGTGGATTCTTTATTAAGATTTGCAATTTCATCCTCTAAATACTTTATTTTTTCACTTAATTCAATTGAATGTGATTCGGCCGTATTTATTTGAGAATTTAGGTTATCATTAGTATTTCTCAAATTTTCATTATCCTTAGCGAGTTGTTTTAAAATCGAACTAGATGATTCTAAATTTTCATCATCTATGGTTTTTTGTCGCTTAAAAATTTTTAACGTCTCTTCAAGTCCTGAGATGAATTCTCGTTGCTCTTGTAATTTATTATTGGAATCCTCATATTTAGTTGAAGCATTTGAAAACTCTTCAGTCAGAGTTTCAAGATCATTTTGTAATTCTTCAACTTGTTTAGCGAGTTCATCATTAATCTTGAGTTTTTCATGATCTTCAAGTTTAAATTGTTGATTTATCTTCTCAAGTTCTTTAACCTGTTTAGAATATTCTTGTATCTCATTTTGAGCTTTTCCTAAATCATTTTTGAGAACTTCCATCATTTTATGATTATCATTAGCTTCAATGATCATATTCTGTAATTGAGTAATTTGATTCGTAAGTTCCTCAATTTCTTTATTAGCATTCTCAAGTTTCATAACGGTATCGTTGTGTTGATCTTTGGCTTCTTGGAGTTGAGATTCTAAAGACATTATTTGGTCAGTTTGGCGAGTTCCGTTCGATTTTAATTCATTTAATTGTTCAATTGTACTAGTCATTTCACTCTTAAGTTCATAATATTCTTGCATTTCAGATTCAGAAGGAAGTGAATTTTTCAATTGTTCTCTTTCTAATAATTTTCTTTCAAGTTCAGATACCAACTTGGAACGTCTTTCATCATTTTCTTTTGCTTCTTGTAATTGAGTTTCTACTATTACGAGTTGTTCATTTAGTTCAATAACTTTCTCTTGATCGAGTGTTGATAAATTCTTAATTTCCTCTAACTGAGATTGAAGGTCCGTAATTTGATTTTCGAGAGCGGAAACAGTTTCTTTATGATTCAATTCTTTTATCTCTAGAGTTTTTGTCAATTCTGCTAATCGTTCGATAAGTTGATCTCGTTCTTTCTCAATCGATATCATTTGATTCCCAAGTTCAGTAACTATTTGATTTTGAGCTTCCATCTCAAGTTTAACATTTGCCAAATTATCTCTCAATGATACAAGATTATTATTATCATCATTACTTGTGACTTTTAATGATTCGGACAAATTTTCTAATTCTTTAATTCTATCCATATATTTATCACGATGTTGTATTAATTGATCAAGTTCACTCTTGAAAGATTCATTTTGTTGTTTGGTTTTTGACCATTCATCATTTAAACTTGTTAATTCGGATTCAAGAGCGATCACCAGTTCTTGTTGGGCATTAAAATCGTCTTTAAGATCTTTTAATTCTTTAATAGCTGAATCTTTTGCATTTCTCGTCTCTTGAATTTGTGATTCTAAATTTTTAATAATAGTTTTTTGTTCATTATCCAAATCTTTAAGAAGGATGATCTCTTTTTTCATTTCTGACAAATTTTGTGATTGATTTTCAGCCAACTCAAGTTTTTGTTCCAATTCTTTAATAGTTTGTTGTAAATTAAAATCAGTAGCTTTCGATTCTTTAAGTTCTTTTTTAACGGTTATCAATTCTTCTTTAGCTTCAAGAGAAAAGGATAATTTTTTTTCGAGATCCGCAATTGTTCGACTATTAACTATCTCGGCTTCCCTAACTAACGCCAGTTCGGTTCTCAATTTATTTAAATCATCATCCTCAAACCAATCTTTTTCAGCTAATTCTGATTCCAATAAAATAATTCTTTCACGTTGAGTTATTTCAATTTTTCTCATATTTTCAATATCTTGTAAAAGTTTTGATTCTTCTGTGCTGCGTAATTTCAATTGATTCAATACAGCCGATTCACGTTCTCTTGATTCTTTAAGTTCTTGTTTGATCTCATTCAATTCTAATAGTAAAGATTCATTGGTTTCATTATTAAATTCTATTTTTTTCGATTGAAGTTCTTTAATTTCCATTTGCATAACTTGTTCTTGAATACTGTATTGCGAAAGTTGCGACTGTAAAATAGTAGCTTCGGATTCTTTCTCACGTAATTTTTGGTGTAATAAATTTTTATCAGTTAAATCTTTTTTCATCAATTCGATTAATTCATATTTATTCTTAACATCAGCCTTGAGTATTTCAAGTTGAACTTGCAATGAATTAATTAATTCTTGTTCAGTTTGAAAATTGTGAAACTTATCACTATTAGATTTATTAGATTTTGAGATAAGAACTTGTAATAAATTATATAATTTCTCTTGAAGCTTATTTATATTTTTATGAGTAGGATCAATCGAATAGAATAGAGAGTTTCTTGAAGTTTGATCATTTTGAGCATCTTTTGCTTTTGTTAATTGACTTTCGAGATCTCGAACCCAATCTTCTAAAGCTCTCACATTTTCATCATCAACATTTTCATCAACATTTTGTTCAAGTTTATCGGAAGAACTTTCTGAAATAAAGTTCGAGGACGAAAAATTTTTAGGATTATTTTCAGAATTTTTTTCAGAATTATTTACATCACTGGATTTTTCAGTTAATTTTTTAGATAATTTTCCTTCAATGGCAAGACGATACGCTTCTCGTACTTCTTGTAATTCATCTTCAAGTTGACGAATTGTATTCTGATTTTGATGATGATCAGATGTGGAAAGTAATAAAGTAGCAATAGTATGACTCTTTGATTGAATGTCGGTTTGAAATTTTTCAACTTTTTGTTTTAAAGCCAAAATCTCTTCATTATTATTTTCGGATTGATTAGCATTTTCTCCAGGCTTTAACTGAATTTCATGTTGTTGAGTATTCATGTCATTTGAGTCATTCGTCTCATTCGCCTCATTCGTTTTATTATTCATTTGATATTTAGAGATAATTTCTATGGTTTTTCGTCGTTCTTCTTTTAATTGGTTAACTTCACCACGAAGTTTTTGCACAATTTCAAGTTGATCAATCTCATTGGAATTTGTGACAGAGTAGGAGGACATTACATCATTTTGAGCAGAATTATCACGGCTCTTAATTTCTTCACGTAATTCTTCAATAATTTCCAAAGTTTCATGATAACTAATTTCTAATTTAGTGAATTCTTGTTTAATAATTTCTAAACCTTGAGCTTTATCATCATGTAAAGAAGAAAGTTGTTTAAGCTCATTATAAAGTTTTTGTACCACAGTAAGTTGTTGATTTTCATCACCGAAAGTATGTGATTTTGATCTTTGATGATTTGATAAGAATTTCGAAGCACTAATAGATTGATTATTATCATCATTAAACTTATTTAAATCATTATTATTAAAATTATTATTATTAAAATTATTATTAAAATTATTAAAGTTAAGATTATTTGAAGAAGAATAAATAATACTATTACTCATTGAACTTGTAGGAGATAAAGGAGTCATTGGAGTTGATGGAATATTTTGATCTTTATTAATATTAAAATAATTATTTGATTCAGTTAATTTAACATTAAGATCATTAATTTCCAATAGACAAGATTGATATTTATTCTTCATATCATTTAAATCATTTATTGTAACTTCATGAGTTTTTTGTAATTCGGATAATCTAGCTTCTAATGTTTCAATTTTTAAACGTTCATGATCACTCACAATTGATGTGTCATTTGAAGTAATTGAATATAAAGAAGTTTCACGTTCATGATTATTATTATTATTATCATTATTATAATCAGAGTTAATTGAAATTCTTTTTAAATGATCAATCTCAATAATTAAAGTTTCAACTTGTTGTTCTAATTGAAATATTCGATTATCTCGATGATTAATATCTTTTAATAATAATAATTTTTCTTCATCCGAAGAATTGGAATTTAATCTTTCTTGTAATTGTTGATAATCGATTTCACGTTGTTTTAATCGTTTCTCTAATCTTTCAATTGTTAAATTTAATTTTTCAAATTGTTCTTCATTATTGGCCAATCTCATTTCAAGATTATGAATATATTCTTCATTATTAGTATCATTTGATTTAAATTGTGCTATCTTTGATTTTAAATCAGCAATTAATTCAAGATCTTTTAATTGTTCTTTTGAATGTTGATCAAGTTTTGTTTCCAAATCTTTAATATATTGTTCAGTAGTTGATCCACGTTCAGAAAATTTTGAAATATTATTCCTTAAATCATTAATTATATTTTTATCTTGTTGAATAATTTTTTCTGCTTGTCCGATTTTAGATTCTTGATCTTGTAATATAGTATCAGAATGTGATAAGGCAGCACGAGTAAGCGCAAGTTGACTTTCAAGTGAAGAAATAGATTTTTCATATTCTTCAATTACAGGTTCTACAGCTTCTTGAAAACTTTCGGAAGCATGAATAAAGAAATTTTCTTCTTGTATCACTTTTAATTTTTTTAATGAATTATTGGCTGAATTGTTTGTGTTATTTGTTGCGTTCGTTATTGTTGTTGAATTATTCGTGTCGTCCGTGTTATTCGTTTTATTTGTTGTTGTTGTTGTTGAATTGCTCGTATTATTTGTTGGAGATCTTGGGGATAAATCATTAATTTCATCAAAATTATCTTGATGCAAAGCAAGTTCAGCTTTAGTTTTTGCATATTTTTGGGATAATTCAGCATAAGATTGTTGTAATTGAATTAATTGTTCTTCAAGTAATTCTAAATCTTTATGATTTTGGGAATTATTTATATTACTAATAGTATTATTAACGTTATTAATATTATTATTAATATTACTATTATTACTATTTGAAATGGGAATCATGGAAAGAGGAGTTGAAGATCGTTTTAGTTTACTTGGAGTTTCACGTCCATTAAAATTTTTACTCGGAGTTTCACGTCCATTATTATATTTACTTGGAGTTTCACGTCCAGTAAAATAACCCATCGGTGTTGTCCTTCCATTTGAAGATATTGAAGATGATTTGATAGCTTTAATTTCATTTCTTAATTTAATTACTAAATTTTGTAAATGTTCTAAATCATTCCAACCAACTTCTTCTTGATTAACCATTGCCGAATTTTTTATGTTACGAGCACGATTTGCATATTTTAAAGTATTCACAGTTTCATTAAGATTAAATTCAGCTGGAGATACACATGCAATCATTAATGTTTGTGCATTACCACCCAAAGAATCTTGTAATAAACGAGTAAGTTTTGAATCACGATAAGGGATATGAATTGTATGTTTAGCTTTATTAGGATCTCCTAATGCTGAAATTACATTTCCCAAAGCTAATAATCCAGAATTAATTGATATTCCTTCTTTTGCACGATCACCTACTGTTCCAGTTCTTTTCAACTGCGCAATTATTAATTATTAATTATGAATTATTAATTATGAATTGTTAATTATGAATTATAATATAGATTATTAATTATAAATTATTTAATTAAAAATTATTAATTATTTAATTATAAATTAAAAACTTACTCTTTCGCTACCAGCCAAATCCACGAAATGAAATTTACTAGTGAATGAAATCCATTCACCATCTTCCAATTTTCTACCCATGCTTAATCCTGAATTTGTTCTTGAGGGAGGTCGTACTTTTGATTTTGTTTGTTCAGGTTCAGGACTTAAAGTACCACTAACGTTACTATTACTACTACTACTACTACTACTACTAACGAATTTTTGTTGAGACATTGTTACTGAAAAAATAGCATGAGATCTTGAAGATTTTGAATTCATATCAGTAGCACCGGTTTGACGATGTAACGATCCTCTTGTTAAATGACTAAATTTTTATTCAAATTTATTATTACTATTATTATTATTATTATTATAGAGTATTATAGAGAAATATTAAATTATACCTGATAACTTCTTCAACATTATTAACTCTCAATTCTTGTAAACCACTCCATAAAATGTTACCTTTAGAATCTTCCCTGATAGTAACTGGAGGTGAATTTTCACCTTCTCCCAATAAATCAATTAAGTCTTCATTATAGATTTCAATGAAAGAAACTTTTACAGAGAATTTACGTGATTTATATTGAGGAGAATTTATTAATTTAAATAAGGTACTCATAGCACGTGGTATTATTCCTTTTTCTTCAGGTAATATTAATGAATTATCAGCTGTGCCCATTGTATGCGTTTTTCCTGATGACGTTTGACCATAAGCTAAGATTGTAACATTGTAACCTATGAATATAAATACATATATTAATTATTGAGTATTATTATTATTATTATTATTATTATTATTGAGTATTTTATTATGATTATTGAGTATTATATTTTTATATATTTACCTTCGAAGAATTTATCAATTAATTTTAACACCGACTTTTCATATATCGAATTTTGAACAGTTTCTGGTCCAAAGACATGATCAAAACTAAATGTTTGTTTCTTTTCACCTGCAACTATTATTTGATTTGGTGTATGTGGATTTATGGATAATACAGATTTTTGAAATCTTGTTGGTAAATTTACAAGATCTTCATTTGTAAGTGGACGTATTCGAACAGCTGTAAAAGTTAAAATTTATATCATCAAATTAATCTTAATTAATCTTAATTATAATTGATCATTCATTAAATAACCTTAAAATAGTTAAAAAATAAATCAATAGTTTAAATATATGCTTATATATATTTATAATTGATTTTAATGCTAACCTACTTGTACCGAAGTTTTTTCTATATCTGATGACATCATGTGATTATGTAATTATTTTAAGTTCGAGAAAAAATTTGATCGTTTTCGTATCAAATAAATAAAGAAATTACAAAAGAGAAATAGAATACGGTGATAAATAAATTAAAAAAAAAAAATAAATAAATAAGTAAAGATTATTATAAATTATTTAATAATAGTTGTAAGCATTTATAATATTTGAGCATTAATGAAAGGAACCAGTCCAGATTTATTTTTTTTATTTTTTCGAAAAGAAATATATGTTTTTTTGGAAGCGTGAAAGAATAAAAAAAGAATTCAAGTTGGTAAAAGAGAGAAGAAAGAGCACAGACGTTTTATGATTTTTTATTATAGTGCGTAAAAATATTTGTATAACCAAAATTATAATAAAAAGTGTAATACAATTAAAGTAGTGGTTGTACTTGTCCACTTTTCTATGTCAATTATCGGGTTCATTAAAGAATAAATGCTAATAATAATAATAATAATTAATTAATACACAATAAACAATATAATATAATATAATATAGTCGAATATACTAATCGGATTCATGTATGCGATCAAAGTATACAATAGAATACAGTTCCATATACAGCATATACATATACAGTAAAATAAACGCAGGTTATAGAATTTATATGGATTATTCCCTTTTATGAATTTCTTTAAATTATATTTAGTGTTTAAGATTAATTTTATCTGACCACATGTTAAATATCTGATATTACGTGCTAATATTACATACACACATTATACACATGTGCATATACCATTATCTGTTATATCACATATTTTATTTTCATTTTTTTTTCAATTACATATTTAACTCACATTTAACTATAATGAATTGAAAATTCGTAATAAATATTAAATCTTATTAAATCTAATTGTAACGGATTGCAATAGTTGTAAATAATAGCGTAGAAAATTCAACTTTAACTTTAATTAAGCAAGCACGTTAAACTTTAATTGAATTTTCAATGAGCTTTAACTGACAAAAATTACAAAAATTAATATTAGAATTTGAAACAACCTAATTTTTAAATTGAAATTCTTATTGGTTAAATAAATATTTAGTTATTTCAGAATTTTATAATTTTTGTATATTACTCCTTGCTTATCAACTTGTGCATACCTTTTTATATCCCTTGTTTGGTATTACATAATTAATAATTTACATGAAATTTCTATTCTTGGATTATGTAATAAAAAATATTTGATAAGATATTTGATGGTGCTCATTACATATTGACTTCACGGATTTAACCTTGCTTAGACAAAGTATTTTACATGTTATTACATCACATTATTCCTTTTTATCCCTTAAACGGTAATCATGTGAATTGCGGGCAAATTTGCCCGCATTTATTAGTAACTTGTGACGTCACTACTGTTTAAGGGATAAATCTATTACTTACGTAACGAGTCAATGAAATCATTAAAAATAAGAATATTTTGGCTTGGCAAGAAATTCCCTTTTTTGATTACAATATCCTTAATAATAACTTTATTCTCATTTTATAGGTCATTTCTTCAAATTGGTTTACAAGTCATATGCCTATCACATGTTTTGATATGTAGCATAATGAAAATGAAACAATTGAAAAATGAAAAATGCAATTCTTTTTTAGTCATTTTATTATGTACTATCATATAATCATTTGATTAATTTCGTCAGATATATAAATTCTATTAATATAAATGTCGATTACCTAAATACCCCAAGATTTTCTACGTAAATTTCTATAAATGAACCATTTTTAGGGGTTAGTTAGTCAGGGGTAGTATATTTATCATCCTTCGAATATCGATTTTTATAAATGAAGGATTTTTTCCTATAAAAACCTTATTAATCACAATCACTACGTAGAAAATCTTAAAAAGTATGAACGATATGCACGTGAATTGTAAAATATGGACTTTTTTATTCAAAATCTAGAATATGATGGGAATAAAAAATAAGAAAAGATTTATAAAAGGAAATGGTATTATTTATTTGTTTCCAAAATTGAAGCCGCACACCAGAGAGGAACGGATGAGGAAACACCTAGTCTTTGGAAAATTTTTTAGTCAATCCAACATTTAAACCGACGAAGAATGTAACGACTACTAAACAATAAATGAGAGTAATAATTATAATAATACTAAAATAAAAATAATTAATAAATGAATATCTGATGATAGAATTTTATAATACTTACAAGAGTTGGCGTAATAAAAATATGGGTTCTTCTTGAGAGCTGAGAGTTACACATAAACCAAGTGGTTATTGTCCAATTCAGACTTGCCATTCTTTAAACCACTTCCTCAAAAAGGAATTCAGTGAATTTAAAGATGTGAATCTAAATAAGATTGTAATATTGATATCATCCCAGCTTCTTCTTAGAGACACGAGCATTACCGTCAGTATCTGCCTTCAATCTCTTACCAGTAAATTGAATTTTTATTTTTTTTTCTCTTATATAATATTAACTTATCCCCAATTCGCAGTTACTATTTATCAATTCAATATGATTTTTATATCCAAAATAACAAATTACAAAAACAAATAGGTGAATTTAGTTAATAGACTTATCCGGATAGGTACTTTGGTAAACGGATGATTTTTCCGGATAAACGGATATCCTCAGATATCCGTTCAACTATAAATTGCAAATTGGAAATAATTCATGATTGTTACCAATATAAAACATCTTATTTTAATATGTAAATGTCAAAAATAGTACTAAGTAAACTTAAAGACAAGTATGAATTGCATATTATATTAAAAGAAGAGACCTATATCATCAAAATTAAGAAAACTACTAGCGGTTAAATTTCGAGCGGGCAAAAAATTTTTAAATGACAATTGTTCGCTCAATTTTGAAGATACACATCTGTCCTTTAAGTTTAATACGCAATTAATTCTAAACTTTGAAGTTACTTAGTACAGTTTTTGACATTCACTAACAATATAAAAGGTATTTAGCAACGATCGGTGATTTTGTTATAATTATATGTTATGATAATAATAACATAATTATATACAAAACCATCGATCGTTGCTACATAAAATACTTTTTATATTGTTAGTGAATGTCAAGAACTGTACTAAGTAACTTCAAATTCTAGAATTAATTGCGTATTATATTTAAAGGACAGACGTATATCACCAAATTTGAGTGAACAATTGTCATTTAAAATGCTTTCGTCCGTTCGAAATTTAACCGCTAATATTTCTCTCAATTTTGATGATATAGGTCTGTTCTTTCAATATAATACGTAAAATTCTTATCTTTGAGGTTACTAAGTACTGATTTTGATATTTACTTATTAAAATAAAATGGTTTATATGTAGAAACCATCGATGAATCTTATTTTGTTACCACGGATAATCACGGATAAATACGGATAAGTACGGATATCTGCGGATATATCCGGATAAGTACGGATATCTACGGATATATCCGGATAAGTACGGATATATCCGGATAAGTACGGATATCTGCGGATATATCCGGATATTTAATTACGGACATTCGTATCCGTGATAAGGCTCACGGATATCCGTTTACCGGATAAGCGGATATCCGAATCGCACCACTAGAATAAGGCATTATTCAATATTGATGATCTTCTATCAACTCAATGAGTCCTCACGTTCAAAATGTAGCAAAAATATTATTATTTAAAGTTGAAGAATGGGTTGACGGAACCGATTATTCAATTAAAACGAAAAATGTACTTATTTTACTTCAAGAAGCTAAGAAAGATAATTCTGAAAAAGAGTTATACGAAATCTTGCACAGATTTCACGAATAAAAAAAAAAATTTAACAAGATTTATTGTTGAGTTTTTCCAAGTGATAGTACTATAGAAGTAAAGTATTGAAAATTATTTTATTTTTTAATTTTAAGAAAACCTATTTGCGAGTGTTATTTACACTAGTAAAATCCTTGGATTTCTCAATTTTCCTCTATACCAACTTTTCTTCGATCTTGTGGATTACCTATAAAATGTAATTGAAATATAAATGAAATATTTTTTAAGATGAGATTCATTTTTCCTAATTGACGTGTACGCAATAAAAATTTTCATAATTTTTTGGAAATGCACATTTGTGCAGTTTCTGGTCTAAGGTATTAAGTCATTATGTAATTTTGTGTTAATGATCTTTGCAATTCCAGCAGTAACATGTGGCAAATTTCAAGATTGTTGTGTACAATCAAGATTAAATTTGGTGTCAATATTTCCATAATATCTTTCTCGAAAATTTTTTTTTTTTGAATTTTACAATGTTTTAATTTATAATTAATATTCGTTGAATAATCATCAAATATTTTTCCAAATTTATAAGGGTGCATAATGTTACAGTAAAAAAGGGAACAAATGGTGTGTATTGATGATAGTTTGTGTAAGGGTCACGAAAATTAACAACAAATATAACAGTTGTATTTCATGAAAATAATAATAATAGCTTTCTCCGTATCTTAATAAAATTAAAAAAAAAAATAATGTCTTTCAAAATATTCTTTGTTATATGTTTTGTTATATTAATGCTTAATTATGTCGATACACACCGAATTCGTCATTATAATCAAATAATAAATAAATATATTTCACATAATAATAATAAGGATAAAATATTATGTCCTATCAAACTCAGTTCAAAATCTGGCTTAGTAAATACATTTGAATCTCATGCAGAAAAGAATGAAACGAATTTCAAGAGAAAGAAAGAAAAGTATAAAATTCATCCACCACAATATTATAAACATCACCATCATATACACAATTCCAAGAATCATAGTAATTATAAAATTATTTTGGAAGAAGTTTGTACTCAACCTTGCCAAACGAGTTTCATATTATTGGTAACATTCTATATTTTTATTTCGGGTTTTATTATACGACATTACATATTGAGGAAAAGAACTAGAAGTAATAGTATAAATAGTATAAATAGTATGGATATTGAATTGAAAGAAAATGAGAATCAATGAGAATATTAAGCTGTTTTAATATAGAATTTAATACAACACATAATCTAACCTAATCCATAATGACTTTGAATAATTCTTATTTTTCATTACTAAAACTTTAATTATTTTAAAATCTTTAAATAATTATTTTATACTGATTAATTAATTAAATCATTATATCATAATTGTACAAATTAATAAAAAATGGTCAGGATTATAAATAAAAGGTGCCAAAATTTACAGCATATTTAGTCAGGTGATAGAAAGGTGCTTAATTTTACAAATTGTATGACCCTGTTTTAACTTAGACTTCAAATGTGATTGGTTAATAATATGGTGAAGTTGTTATCTGACTGATATTTATCATTAGATTTATTGAATTTTAGGGTGCCAAATTTACATGTAATCATAGTAATCATAGTTTCACTTTGTTCTAATCAAAAATGATAGAAAATTTTCAATAAGCTACCTTTTACAGAATAATAACTATTTAAAGTCAACCGAAAAAAGTGCACGGTAGGCACGATAACCTGGATGGATTTTGGCTTTTAAGACTGCTTGTCGAAACACCCTGTTGACCGCATTTACTTATTCGAGGGACCAGGGTTAAAAGTCCTTAGACTGTAACTGTCGTAGCAGGCGGAAACTTGCTAATGTGGGACATACCATTCGGTTGTAACTAAAATTTGTATAGATCGACCTACATTAATAAAGTATATGGTCAAGGAATGAATTAATAAAAAATGGATATTTCGATTTACTTCAAATTTCGTTTAAGAGCCACCAAATCCTTATCAAGATTTAATTCCATCTTCATTAAGAGGCAAACAAAATAATGGTCTTGGATTATTAGATTCAACAACACTATTTCTACCATTGTTCGTCAACACGTGATTCGCGTGAATCAAATTTGTAAAAGAAAATTTCATGCGTGGTGTTGGAAATAGATATAAATATGAATGCAAGATAATGGCAATAGTTTAATGGAGCAATTAATTTTATTAACTTGAAAAGTCTAAATTAATAGATTATATGTTGGTAACACGTGATTGAATGTTTAATTGAGAAACTATTATGGAGTCAATAAAAATATCCGTGCGACATATGAAAAATATAAAAGAATGATTTTACTGTGTTTTCTTGAAACAAAAAAAAAAAAAAACTCTTAAATCATTATTAAAAATGAAATTCCTATTTTATTCTTGTACTGGAAAATTTCAAAAAATTCGTTCTACTTCTACCAACTCCAATTCTATCACCAAACAACTTCTCAACAGTGAATGTCTTCAACTTGTATTTCAATTTTTACCCGTAAATGATCGTGCACTTTATTCTTGTTTATTTGTTAATAAATTCTGGAGTAAAAATGTTATCTTTATATTATGGAGTCATCCCTTTCGAAATAACTTTTCATCTTATTATTATCGTTATCTTTCAAATAATGCAAATAATTTAGATAATTTAAATAACTCAAATAATGCAAACAATTTAGATAATACTCTCGCTGAAAATTACGAAAGTCATTATAATCATTATCATCAACATAAACGTAATAATAATAATTATTATTCACGTGAGCATTATGATGAAAAATATTATGAAAAATATTACGAAAAACTTTTATTAAATTATTTATCTTGCATCGAAAAAGGTGAAAAAAAAAAACTAAAAAATATATTGAAAGAAGTAAAAATTCAAATAAAAATACCAAAAAATTCATTAACTTATCATTATACAACATATATACGAGAACTTTCTTTACGAGAATTAGAATTTTCGATCTATACATTATTAAAAACCCATTATAGAAAAAAAAATAATAATAATGAATTTTATACTGAAGGAAAATTACAAATCGAATTTCTTACTAAAATTTTATTTCAATTATTTCTTTATCAATCTACTAATCTACAAACATTAATTATAGATAAATATTTTGAATTTACGGATATTCCTGAAGTTATGGTCTTTTCTCAACCTGGATGTTTATCAAGAATAGAAAATTTTGAAATTAATTTTCATCCAACTCCAAATATTCTTCAATTATTAAAAACTTTACCTTCCATCTGTACAAATATTAAAAATCTTTACGTCAGATTTCCCAAAATTTCAAAATTTCCTGAAAACGATATAATTATCTTTAATAGTTTAATAAATATTATCAAATCTCAAAATAATTTAAGAGAATTTCATTTACTAGGTGTTGAATCAATGGATATTATTAGTAAAATTTTATTATCATTAAAATCTCAGTCTAAAAGTCTACATACTTTGGAATTTAACTCCGTAAATCTCACTGGAGTTAATTTTAAATTCTTAAATCAATGTTTGAATTTGAAATCTTTACAACTTTGGAATTATCAAGGAATGTTAATAAATAACGCTAAAAGTTTCATGAATGTAAATTATAGATTAAAAGATCTTAAATTATGGTCTACCCAAAAATCACCTAATGCATCGGCAACTATAATTAAACATCTGGGAAAAACGTTGAAAATTTTATGGATAGATATTTTATCACCGGAAGTAATTCATTCTATTATAAATTATTGTCCAATATTGACGGAAATTATAATTTTGGATTATTTACCGAAAAAACTTCCATTACTCTTGAAATTACTTAAAGAAATTAAAATAGAAAAACTTACAATATCTCGTGAAACAAGTGTTGAATTAGGTGTAATTGATTTTTCAGGAAAAAATTTACCAAGTGGATTGAAATATTTAAAATTAGATTGTGGAATTAGTGTTGAACAATTAGAAACATTATTATTGTCAGAATTCGATAATAATAATAATAATAATAATAATAATAATTGTCTGAAAGAATTGAGAACTTTGATTTTGAATTATTTTAAAATTGAAATTGGACATTTACGTGTGATCACGAAATTTGTAAATTTAACAAAAAATTTAAAAGTTTTTGGTGTTGGAGGAAAGAATGAATATACTCCAAGGGAAATGAATGAATTGGAAACATTACAAAAAGATTATAGAATTTACGTGATTCCTTTTAATGAAATTGATAATTGGTAAAGGTGAATATCAACATTTATATTTATACAATTTTATCACACAAAAATTTTAATCGTTAATTGAAAATGAAAAAACAATTCTTTTTTTTTTTTTTTTTATTTACAAATAAAAAATATTATAACAAAATAATATATATATATACATATTTTTCTAATTTTTTCTAATTTTTCTATTGAATTATTAAAATTTAAAATCTTTTTTTTTTTACCACTTATCAACTTCATACCATGGAATAACATGAACACCGAATTTTTCTTTGAGAACTTCTAATTCCTTCATTTCTTTTCCTCCCCATCCTACACGTCCATTAATTCCCAAATATTTTAATGTTCTTCTACACTTTACAAATTTCATTATAACTTTGAGATCCATGTATAGAACTTTCATAAAATCAATAATTAAAACTTTTAATTTAGCATTTTCTCCACAATCATTTAATAATCCATCTAATTGTACAGAAGTGAAACCACATTTTAATTTTAAATATTCTAAATTTGGAGGTAAATTTTTTCCCGAAATAATCATATTTTCATAACTCATATTCTTATGATTAATTTGAAGTGTAAGATGTGTGATATGAATTAAATTTAGAAATAAAGAATTTAAAAGAGGATTATGTTGTCTAGGTTGATAATTGAGTAATGTTAAGTTCCTGATATTTGGACAATTTTGTATTATTGAATTAATAGTTTCATGTGTTATTACATCAAAAGTTATATCTTGTAATGAATCTTCTCCTGATGCTCGAATAATTTGAGCCGGAATTATGGGATATTTAGGCGAATTGGTGATATGTAATTTTTTTAAATTAAATTTAATTAAATTCCATATATTATTACTTTTTTCATTTTTATCAATCGTTGAATAATCATTATCATCATCATCAATAGTTAATCCTCTACAATTTAACATTGATAATATTTCTAAATTAGTACAATAAGTTAAAGATAATAATGAAGACGTAGTTAAATTAATATTCTCAAATTTAACTATATTTAAAGTTGCGGCTTGAGTTCTTAGTGCTAAAATAATTTCTTTAGATTCTTCACTATCCACACCTTCAAGATTAAATTCTTTTAAACATTCTTGTGATCTTATAATCTTTATAATTCCTTTGGTAATTTCGGGAATTTTATCAGTAAAAGGGGGAATTTTAACATCCAAGATTCTAATTCGTTTACATAATTTTGAAATTATATTTAAAATTTGAATAGAATTTTTCATAATTGGAGTTGTTGTATAATCAATTTCAAGTTTTGAAATATTTAATAAATCCGAGAAATTATTATAAATATTATTAAAGTTATTAAAGTTATAATCGAAAATATTATTACATTCTGGTATATCACAATGGGTTAGAAATTTATCTAATTTAAATGATCTTAAACTTGTGGAATGTTTTAAGAATAACTTGCATAAAGAAGAAGTTATTATATTCATTTGTTCGTCTAAATCTTTTATGGTACAATGATCACAACTCCATCTATAAACAAATGAATGTACAATCATTTCTAAATTCTTGAAAGAAAATTCTTTTAATAATATGGGATAATTAAATAAAGGTTTTTGTATTTTCGGCAAATTAATATCATAATGCTTTAATGCAGAAGATAATATTAATTGTTCTTGTTCATCAAGAGAAGATAGATAAATGCACATGATTTTAAATCTATTCTCGGGTAATAAATTCTCAAAAGGTCGTGACCATAAGAATGGCACAACATTTTTACACCAGTAACGATTTACCAACAATAAAGGGTATAATGCTTCTCCTTGATCAACAATATTTTGAAAGATTTGTTGCATGCATTCTGTGGGCAATATGGGAATTATTAAATTACAAGGTTTTTTCTTAATTATTAATGGATTAAATATTTTAATAATAAATTTCACTAAGGGACAATATTTTTTGTTGTTCTTGCCGTTGCTATTTTCTGTTGCCATCTTTTGTTGGTTTTATTTTTTTTTTTTTTATTTCTCAAATAATTTTATGATTTTGCTGAGCTGATTGAAAAATTTGATGTTATTGATGATTGTTAGAGAGTATATTTATAAACATCAATTATTTAATTAAAAATTTTGACAATATAATTCTTAATTAGGGCGTTTCAATTGTTCTATTTTCTAAATTTGGCTTCTAAAAAAAAAATTTTTACAAGTTAAAAATGTACGTCACGCATAATGCTGGAATGCACAGAATTGTCTTCTCTATAAAAATAATTTTGTCAACTCTTGTTTCCGATTTAAGTGAACTTATTGGGAATACTATTTTTACTTTAAATTTTTTTCGTGAATGAGAACAATGAAACCATTTTTTATCATCTCTTACTCTCTTTAAAAAATTAAAAATCTCATTGAGAAAAATTATTCGTCATGCATTATTCAACTATTCGATAAAGGTAAAAAATAAAAAAATTAAATGAACTAAAACGTTTGCAGCATACAAGGTGGCGTATGTACGACAAAACAAATATTCTACAAACAATGGATTTTCATCAATGGGTTGTCAATATTTTTATTATTTTGTTTCCTGTGGCTTAAACTGTTGAAATAAATACTTATTTGTCAGCCACAAAGGGATGAGAAGAATATATCATGGTGTAAATGCATGTATGCTCTCGAGGTATGTTAGATAAAATGTTGAAATATCTTCTCAATTACAAAACGTAAATATAAAGTCGCGATCTCATAATTTTATATTTTAAATAATCACGTGATACAATACAATCCAAATATAACAATCTAATAAATAATGAAAATCTTGTTCTGGTATTTTGATAATATTTTAATATTTTCAATTATGATAATAAGAAATTATAATAGTAAATTTTAATAATAAATTCTGATAATTATAAATTTATTATAATAAATTGTTAATTAATTATGACAACTAGATAGGTGAAAAGGTTATCCTTGTCCCCTATAGACCGGAACATGTGCCTAAATACCATATCTTTAAGGTAAAGAAAGAAACTAAAATAAATCAGAGAAATTTACAAAGAATAAATTATATTATTTATTTATTTTTATTATCATATTATTATATCAATTAAGAAATGACAGCTTCTGAACCATTAACAATTGAACAAGAATACGAAATGCAAATATCCTGGCATTTGGATGAAAACTGTATTTATTTGTATTAATTTATTTGTCGAATTATTCTTTTAAAAAAAAAAATTTTGGTCTCTTTGAATAGAATGCACATTTATAATATTGGAAAAACAAAATAATTTTAGTAGTGAACTTACTAATGAACAAATTAAAAATTCACACGAGTTTATTCATTATTCATTAATTTTAATTTTTTTGCAACTGAGGAAAAGTGCATCAATTTTTTAATTTTCCTGGACGAAAAGAAATGATTGGAGATGTAAATTTATTCTTCAATGATAAGGAAAATTCTACAGTTTCCGAAATAGAGATCATGATAGCAGGTAAATTTGTAATTTTCATTCAATTTTTTTTTATTTCTGAATAATCATTTTTTAACATATTTTAAAGAAACCTCATTTCATAGATTAGGATTTGCTACAAATGCTCTTTTGTTAATGTTCAGCTATGCCATAAATAAACTAAATGTGACAAAATTTACCACAAAAATTTCTACAAAAAATCATCTTTTCGATAGCATTTCAAGAAATATCTTTAGAATGGATTGTTAATAACGATAAACATTTTATAGAGAAAATGTTAAAAGATAAAGGAGGAATTAAAGAAACAGTTTATGATTTAATTCCGTAATTTTAATTTTATTTTATTTTAATTTTAATGGTAATTTTTGTTTCTATAAATGCATTTCACAAATAATTTATATAATAAAGTCGTATATGAAAATAAAAGGACAACAAACCAATTTTTCTCGAATAAAAATGGAAAATTATCTCATTGAGAATTCTATTTATGGAGTTGCGAAAATATCTAATTTTGTTTGGTGCAATTCTGCTTATGTCAAAACTTTAGAATTCATTTCATGTCTTCCAAGATTTTTTCTTGTCCTACAAACATGATAATTATTAACGTGATTCTGGGTCTAACCTTATCCAGTTTTATAATCAAAAGAATTTTCTTAACGGTTATTTTTTAGAAGTATAATAACATATGATACCATCTAATTCACTAAAAAATTAAATTTATATATTAAATTTAAACGAAACAAATTTGACAAATAATTTTCAATTTACATTATTTACATTAAAAGAAATAGCAGCATTTGTATTCTTATTTTCAATAAATTATAAATGCAATTCATGCATAGTTTAATTTACACAAAATATATTTAATATATTCTCGGAGAATTTTTAACATAGAATATTAACTTGTACAAAAATACAGAAATCATCAAATAAGCTAGAATAATTTAATGCTGTACATGCTGCAATTTTATATTGCGAGCAGAAAATTATTATTATTTTTTTTTTATTTTTAATGACACTTTCACCTTCTCAATAAAATATCTTATCATCATTCTCTCGCAAAGATCCTTACCCTTTTTTTCTAGATATCTCAATTCGCTCATGTTGATATTTATCTCTCATTCTTTCACATAATTTTTAATCAAAGCTTTGATAGCTTTGAATTCGATACATTCGACACGTGATTTTAATATAAAAAACGCTTAACCTTTGACATTATAAAACCATTTTCAATAAAATCAAGGTAAGTTTTAATTTTTATTTTTATTTTTTTAAAAAACGTTTATGAGCAGCAAATTTGTTTGTAAACATCACTTGTAAATATCGTATATCTTATATAATATGAAATAAATTATTTTTTTAAAAAAGATTTAACGGTGTCGTAACATGTCGGAAACTTATACCGCACCACAAACTCCAACAGAATATTTCAGTGATCCTGAATCATCATTGTATAATACACCAGAGTCTATGAGTGATATATCTGATAATGAAGAAACCACTCAAAAATTTGGAAAAAATGAACATAATAATAATCAGTTAGATTTTAAAAAATTAGAGAAGGGAAAAATGAAAATGATTTATGATAATGAAAATATAGAATCTCTTCAGGTGGAAGGATGGACTTCACAGAATCCACTACAGGAGGAGACGACACAAGAGATAATCATGAATAATTTTGTTGTTGTCTCTAACAAAGAAAATGATATAGAATCAAAAATCGTAAATAACGTGGACATTAATAAGAACAATAACAATAACAACAATAGTAATAATAACAATAACAATAAAAACAATAATAACAATAATAATAATAACAATAGTAACGGTATTGGTAACAGTAATAGTAGTCAAAATGATAATAACAATAGTAATAATAATAATAGTAGTAATAATAATAATAATAATGATAATAATAAATCAATACCGTCGAGTGGCAGTTCTCGAATTCCTCGTGCATCACAAATTCCAAATATTTATCATCCTAATTTTGGTGCAAAAAATGTGAATCAAGAAAATTCAACAAAAAATTCAATATCTCAAAGGTCCTCTTTGATTTTAAAAGAAAAACAAAAAGTTAATCTGAACAATATGATTCAAACTAGTACTACTACATCAATAAGAAGAAGACCATCAAAAAATGTTATTGGACGAACTCCTTCAAAACGTATTACAACGATTAAACGCAGTGGTGCAAACATTAGGAAAGGTACAGGACGACGAAGAATAATGGAGAAATCAACAACTTCAAATCCAAAAATTAGCAACGATCCAACTGACATGGAGGCTGATACGTTTTCATTTTCTCAACCACTAAGATTTCCTTGGATACCTGGGTCTTCAAGCCCGCCAAGACTTATTCATGCATCTTTGGTACCATTGTCGCAACATAATAAACGTTTGCCTGTAAAGAATGATACTAGTCGATCAACTAACTTTGGCAGGGCTACTCGCCTTATTCTACAAACATGTAATCTGAGAAGGCCCAATTCTAGTTTAATGTCTCCAGATTCTATTAATTTGTCGCTAAATGAAACCAGAAAAATTGGAAAACGTTCCTCTCAAATATTTCGACGTCAATTGTTAGAACAAAGTATAACAATGTCATTTGGAGGAATACCACCAAATCGAAATTTATCTCAATCAAGACAACCAATACGTCGAAGAACAAGGAAACGCAGTAATGCTAAATTAATTGATCGGGAATCAAGAAGAGAAAGAAGAAGAAAAGAAAAATCAAATGCAGGAAATGATAACACTGAGACAGCGGAGACAGCTAAAACATCTGTGAAAATTAAAACAGCTAATACATCTGTGAACAATGTAAATAATAAACCAATAAAAAGAGGTAATACAGTTGTATCGAAAAGAATTTTAAATTCAGAAGAATTGGGGGAAAAAGTTGATGAAGAATTAAAAAAGATTAATTTGTTTTCCCCACAACCTCCTCCTAGAAATACAAAAAATCCTGAATTCCCTGAATTAAATCCAATTCATAAAGAAATGAACAATAAATCTTTGTTTTCTCAATTACCAGAAAAGAGATCAATCAAATCTGCAAATACGACAGATATGAAAGATTATAAAAATTCAATAGCAGCGGAATCTTCAACATCATTACCATATCCAAGCCATCTATCATCGTTAAAATTTTCACCACCTAATAATAGACCATCAAGAATTCCCAAGTTCGCGACTGGACCACCATCAATATTTTCAATGACTCCAACAGTATCATCTCCAATTGAAGAATTTGATATACTTTCTGATTTCGACAAACCAACAATAACAGATCAAAGGATAAATCAAGAAACAAGCCAAGAAATAAACCAAGAGGATAGTAATACTCGAAGAATAATGTCACCTTTAATTACCGATTCACCCATAAATTCCTCACCTATATTTCTTCGATCACCTACTTCTCCTTCCAAAACGCAAAGGCTATTTAATATGTTTTGTAGACGCGATAATAGTACACCATCAATATCAGTGGAACAATCTTTGCCTGCTACTCCGAAATCCATGTACTTTGGATTTTCACCACGTTCGCCACAATCATTAACGAGCACACCATCACGATCACCTAGTAATACTCCAACACGATCATTATCACCAGTTTCTCCTGGAAAAATTTCACGTTCTGCTAGTCCAATACCAAATTCCGCTGGAATATCATCAGCGAGTCATCTATTGAAACCAGGTTTTACACGACATAATTCAGAATCTGTTAAAAATCCTATAGAAATAGATAAATCTGATAAATCTGAAAATATTAGAAAGATGCAAAATTTTGAGAATATAATTAAGCAAACAGAACTTGAGAACGAAATTAAGAATGAAATGAATATTAAAAAGGCGATGAAAACTGCCATTATAACGAGTACCACAGCGGTAACATCACCAACTGTAATACCTGTATCACCTATGACTAGTTCCGTAATCAAGAAGGAAGAATCTTGTAATTATGTGGATGGGGGAGACGATAATTATTCCTTGTATCATAGAAAAAATTCAATAAATCATCTTTCACCCGGACACAGAAAAGAAGATGTGTTATCAGGTACCGAATCTGATCAATACAACTCAGTACAAAGAACATTTGGGGAAGATAAAGTTTTAAGAATGACATTAACTCCATCATATCTATGTCTAGAAAATAATTAATAATTTAATTTTTTTTTTAATTTTTGTAAAATATTATTACATACATATTTACCTCATCAATTATATTAATTGTAAACTTGCAAATTTTTATTTTTCATCATTTTCATCATCATCATCATTTTCACCATTTTTCATGATAGAATTGTTAGAATGAAAAAAAGAATATTTAAATTTCATTAATTTATATAATGGTTATAAAATATTTAAAATTTCTAGACATTTATTTTTTTCTAACTAGAAATACCTTCATTTATTTATTTAGTATTTAACAACCACTTTGATAAATTTACATTCTTTACAGAAACAGTAGATAACAAACAATATAAACTGGAAATAAATTTAAATAATTTATATAATTTATTAATTTTGATAATAAAACAAATTTTCAAATGCATACTGTACATATATTTTATAATAGAGTTATATGATTACTATAAAAGTCAGCATCATGTGATCCGTGAGATTTCAAATAACAAATATAAATATATCATTACACAATTGTAAATAATTTATACAGAGTAAGCTAAACTTGACATGTTACACATTGAATTTTTTTTTATTAAAAAATAATAAATTAAAGTAACTTTGAAATATCAGTTAAAATTATTTTAATTACTAATAACTTTCTAGTGATTATAAAAACTTTAAAAATTTCTTAGCACATATAAACTGTTTACTTTTCAATTCATATCAATAAAAAATTTTATTTAACTAATTTCGCTTTTATGCAATTACCAAAACATTTTGAGATATGAAATTGGAAGATCGGTGAACCTATTTCAATCAATATCTAGATTTTTATCTATAGTACCCCTTCAAAAAAAAATTTTTTTTTTCAAATACTCTATGATGATAATTGATTTTAAAGACTGTATAAATTTCTGTATCCAGATATATGACAAAGACTCCAAAATCCGGAGCATTATGGCCCACAATATACGATATGTAAAATAAGGTAGTCTTTTTTTGTTCGAAAATAAAAGTACTGTAATCTGTAATGCAACATTAAGTACCCATTTTTTTTGACAATGAGAATTTCGATAATCTTTTATGAATTGTATTAAAGTTCGGGTTGACGGGACATATTTTATTTCTTTCCAATAAATAACAATGTTGTGAAAAATGCAAGTAAATCCAACAAAACAAGCCAAAGGTAAAAAAAGTAAAATATTTTAAAATACAGCAACAGATAAAAACACAAGAAAAGACGAGGAGGTTTTGGATGTTTGGAATTGGTTTGACGACGAAAAAAATAACAAAATCATTGTAAATCCAATGAAAATTAAATAATTAATAAATCAAATTAATAAAATATATTAATAAATAAAGAATAGAATGGCAAAACTAATTAATCGCAGTAAAATTGACTCCATCTTCACCACAACTACAACCATCACCAGAGCCACAACCTGCGCCACCCTCATTACAGCGTCTCATGAAGTAACTAGATTTAACTATCAATGAAAATGTCAAACTCTTGATAAGAAAAAAAGAAAGATAAAAGTTATAAATGATTTCAAAATTTTATTTTACCTTCACGGAGAGGTGATGCGTGAATTGTTAGGCCATGGAAGATACAAATTAGAACGATAAACAAGAAAAGGCATTTCATTGTAAATATTTGTGTTAGAGTTTAATTGTTTAGAGACGTTTGAAATTTGTCTTTTCGTTGTTCTGAATGATCAGTTTATATATATATATATATTTTAATCAATATAGAAGTCAAATATGATGATTCCGAAGAGCATAAATATTAATTATGAGCAAAAATTGAACCAATAAAGCAAACTTTTTGAACATCCTCTCCTTTTGATCAGCCATGACTATCCTTTAAACTTTCGAATGAATAATGATATTATCGCGGTTTTCAAATTAGTGCGACTGATCCTCGAATATAAGTTTATAACACGTGGTTATCCGAGATAATATCAATTTTTTATTGGCTGAAATTTGAGGATCAGTACGTGTTCTTGTTGATAAGGTGCAAAGGGTATTGTTTTTGATATATTTATGGTTATTTTTTTGATGAGAAAACTTAAACTAGACCCCAGGGTTTAGGTCATTTATTCTAGACCCCCGGCTTTCTTAATTTATAAATATCAAAGTTAAATTTTAGTTGTACAACCCAATCAAATAAATAATCTTTGTTTATTTTGTTATTATTATTATTTTTATTATATATTTTCTTTTGAATCAAATTGTTTCGCGGGGTTAGTTCCTTTTCTTTATTTTCACTGGGTTCATGACTAATTAAA